AGCCGGCAAACTCAACTCCGAGATGAGGCGCCTCACACACAGACGTGACAGAGCCATGTTGAGACTAACATCCGCGGACGAGACCCTTGTTGAAATGACCCAAGTCCAAGTCCAAAACCTAACAAAAAGAATCAATGAAATAGAGAAACTAAAACTAGCCAAATCGAAAGCGCGCACCGGAGCAAATAAAAGAATCCTAAGTGAAACAACCAACAAATACTGGTGTAGATGGGGAAAGGAAAACAAACCACGCGACACAATACCCGAGCTGAGAATCCCAGAGTCCAGCCCCCCTGCCTACACAACTGACTCAACCGAGATGTCAAACATAGCGGCCAACCACTACAACTCCGTCCAGTACAGAGACCTGTCTACCCACCAAGAGGAGAGGGAGACCCACATTACAAACTCCATAAACAAGATCCGGAACCACGTCCCACCAGAAGCCCTTGCGGACCTGGCCACCTCACTAAGCCTTGCAGACATAGAGAAAGCCCTAAACCAGTCTCCCCTAGGAAAGTCCCCTGGCCTCAACGGCATACCCACCGAGTTATTCAAAAACCTAAACACGAGGTGGAAGGAAGGAAGGAATGAGAATCGCGGTTTACATATAGTAAAACTCCTAACCTACCTAGCCAATGATATTGAAATGAACGGCATCTCCTGCCCACTTATCTCAGAAGGGTGGCTCTGCCCACTCTACAAAAAAAAAGATAAAAGAGAAATTGAGAATTACAGACCTATAACCGTGCTAAACGCGGAGTACAAAATCATCACAACAGCCATTATGAACAAACTATCCCCCATAGCCCCCCTCCTGGTCCATAAATGCCAAGCGGCCTTCATCAAAGGCCGCAGTATTTTCGACCAAATAGATCTTGTCAACCGTATGACCGACTTATGTGAATTAACCGGACAAGATGGTGCAATTATCGCCCTCGACCAAGAGAAGGCATATGACCGCATTCGGCACGATTACCTCTGGAGAGTCATGGAGTCCATGGGAATCCCCCCTAACCTCATATTGACAATCAAAAATCTCTACACCGATGCTAAAACAAAAGTAATCCTAAACGGCATGATCAGCCATGAATTCCCAATAACAAGAGGGGTCCGCCAAGGCGACCCCCTGTCCTGCCTCCTCTTCAATATCGCCATAGAACCTCTATCAATCGCCCTCAGAGAATCCCCATCCCTCCGAGGCCTAGAGATCAACACCCCCACTCTCTCACAGAGAGTTATAATATCCCTCTTCGCTGACGATGCCGCTGTCTTCCTTGCCAAGGACGATGACCTGAATACCCTACTCTCAACTCTAAACTGCTGGTGCATCGCATCAGGGGCCAAATTCAACCAAGAAAAAACCATCGTCCTCCCTGTCGGCTCACCGGAATACCGCGAGAGGGTACATAACGAGAGAACTATTAATCCCTCCTCCGATGTTAGCCTAAATGAATCGATAACCATTCTAAAAGACGGACAAACAATGAGATACTTAGGGGCCCAATGCGGGAACAAGCCCAGTCATAAAGACCCCTGGCCCTCAATCACAACAAACATTGAAAAGTCGCTTACCCAATGGAACAAAACCCACCCCTCCCTCGAAGGCAGACGCCTGATCGCCCAAATGACCATCGGTGGAATGACCCAGTTCCATACCCGTGCCCAAGGAATGCCAAAAGACGTGGAAAAATGCCTAAACAGAAGAATACGTGAGTTTATTTGGAACTCCGACTCCCCCCCCCTATGAGCATGGACCAGCTAAACAGACCAAAAGCCCAAGGCGGAAAAAATGTCCTGAACTTACGAGACAGAAACGAGGCGATCCACCTCATCAAACTCCAAAAAATCCTCGATAGATCCCCCAATAGGCCCCCGGCCTCAGACGCCGCCGAAGCCATCCTACTAGCCGTTCTCCCAAAAAACCAACTGCCCCAAGACCCGGCACACCCCTTCATCACAAACATCTTCACCCAAAAACCCTTCCTCAACGCCCGAACCCATCATAGGAATATCCCAGCTGAACTCCGAAACACCTTGAACGTCGGAGCTAAATACAACCTCAGATTGGAGAACCCGACAATTGATCTTGGCACAAAGCTTAACCTACCAGCCTGGGCCCACCCGGGTCTTGAAAACAACCTGAGAATCAGCGACCGCTCAAAAACGGCATCCTGCCTAAGAGCGTCCCATAGTTGCAAACACGTCGGTGACCTTGTCGCCCAAGTCGACCACCAAGAAAACCCGGCCCATGACCCCACAAAAAGAAAGTGCCCCTGCCCCCCCTGCACGACCTACAGACTGGCTGGCTGTAAAAACCCGGAAGGATGTTACCAAACGGCAATGAAAATTGCCACGAACCTCGACCTCCATTACAGCCCATACAGCGACTCGCACCTTCTTCCCCTACCGGACCGCCCCCCTGAGGAAACAGCCAGGCAACATGCCATTGGAAACCCAAACGACATCAAAATCTTCCTCCCATCCCCCCAATTATGTTCCCCGCTCCACCACCACTACAGAGTATTCGGCAGAACCCCCCCGGAAACCCCAAGGGACCTGACCCCCCAATCCCAACAAACCAGCAATGTGGTGGCATTCACGGATGGATCCTGTCCTCAAAATGGAGACACTAACGCGAAAGCCGGCTTTGGAGTATGGTACGGCCCAAACAACCCCTGGAACACTAGCAAAAGAGTCAACCCACGCTACCCACAATCCAACAACACAGCGGAAATACTTGCCATACACCATGCTGCCACCTCCACACCCCTATCATCGAACCTCCACATCAAGTCCGACTCGGAGTGGTGCATCAACACCCTCTGTGACAACCTTGAATCCCACGAAGACTCGGATTACGCCTACATAAAAAACCAATACATCATTAAACTGGCCGTAAGCGCCCTAAGATCCAGACTCACCCCAACTTCATTCGAATGGCTAAAGGGCCACGCAGGAATCCACGGAAACGAAGAAGCGGACAACCTGGCCGCAACAGGCGTCCTCCTAGATCCGGATCCTCTCCCACCCGTCATGCCCCCCCTCCCCCACATACCGAGCGGAGCCCGCCTCTACGCCCTGAACCAATCTACAGCAACGAGACTGATCCGCAGAACCAGGTTAACTAAGAAACTCGATGTTAGAACAACAACGTCTAACAACATCGCTAAGATCCAGTCAACCCTGGAGAACCTGGGCAATGCCTCCCCCTCACAAGAGAGAATCTGGGAATGCCTGGGGAAAACCCGCAAAGAAATCTCCCCTGAGATCCGAAACTTCCTTTGGAAGCTAACCCACGGCTGCCTCAAGATCGGCGAGTACTGGAAGAAAATCCCAGGCTTCGAACACCGGGGAGAGTGCAACCAATGCCAACAAACTGAAACAATGACTCACATTCTATTTGAGTGCCCCCTCAATCATAGCGAATGGGTGTGGTCGACTGCCAAGAAAATGTGCCACCGAAGGAAAATTGCATGGCCCCCAACGTTAGACACTTCACATGTGATGGCCGCCCCGATCACTAAGATAATGAACAGTAAAGGAAACCCGAGTAAAGGAGAAACCAGACTGTACCAAATAGTAATCCCCGAGTGCGCGTGGCAAATCTGGAAGGCCAGATGCCGGAGAGTCATTGACCCCGACCACCCGCGAACCACTCCGAGCGAAATCAGAAACGCCCTCCGAGCCGGTCTCAACGACAAACTCCAACAAGATATTGCCCTGACAAATCGTAAGAAATACGGCCGAAAGGCCCTGCCGGCCAAGCTAGTCCTGCTCACCTGGAGCGGGAACCTCCATGAAGAAGGGAAACTGCCGGACAACTGGCTTAACAGCCCCGGGGTTTTAGTGGGTATACCGGACCCCCCATGACCGGGGCCGGGAGTCCCACACAGCGCCGATAACCGGCCAGTGCGCAACGCATTTCCCCGCGGTGGCAGACCGGCACAGACCACTCTATGGGATCCTATCTCCCTACACAAACCCCAAATACATGACCATGTATCGCGAAAGCTACTGGGGTTCCACCAAAAAAAAAAAAAAAAAAAAAAAAAAAAAAAAAAAAAAAAAAAAACGAAATTCCGTGTTTTCCGACAAACCAACCAACATTGCACGTGGCCGGGTCCGCACAAGCATTAATTTGAAGAGCCCATGGCTTAATGCATGATCATGCAGCCACAGCAAATGGCTGGTTGTACAGTATACCCGGGTCCAACTTAAATCCCCGCAAAAACAAAACAAGGCCGCGGAAAAAAAAATAAAACACCACAAAGGGACAACCAAGATCCAACCCAAGATCCTCCCCCCCACAACCACAAACACCTATGCATAGACTCGAGCTGACCCTTGTTTCCATGCACGCACGCACCGCGGGAAGCACAGAATCATATCCAGGAGCGCCACGTGTGGCTCAATTCCAATTGATCATGAAGTAATCAAATCATGATCATATCAGACCAGTCGTCGTAAACTTCGCGCCCCGACTATACCCGCCAAGGATTCCAATGCAATCCAGTATATATGCATAACACTGGGCGCAGATCGATTAAGGAGCGAAAGAGTTCCCCTTCTTTCTAGATCCTTGGATTCCCAGATGGTACCAAGCTAGTCCCCTGCATGAAAGCTATGCAGACCAAGGATGCAAAGATGAATCGATCATGACCGTGGCGCGGAAAGTGGTGCCACCAAGTTGGTTTTTGTATCCCTACAACGGCGCTCGTGGCCAAGGGTGGAAAACAAAGCCCGTGGAACAAATGCATACAGGCAACGAGCATTTGCAAGTGGCATTTGATAATGTGTGCAATGCCGGGTAATTAACGTGTGCCTGAATGACCTCGCTTAGAAGCTGTGGGTGAAGACCGGCCTAGGAATCAGAAGCGACATGAGCCGCAGGTACGCGCCGCAAAACCTGCAGTCACATATTGGCTGCATGGGGTGAACGGTCAGAAATGGTCCAACGCAAATATGAAGCTGAGCTCTTTCGGCACATACATTATACATATACATCTCGGCCACTCTACAACGGCCTTTTCACCCCCGCACTCCCCAGATCATTTTTTCACATCCCAGTGAAAACAGGGAAGCATTTCAACAGGTTCCAGAATCCACAAACGTACGTCCCCAGGCCAATGTTATCAACCAATGAAAAGATAAGGTCGGTCGCACATACGGGTTGAGCAATGTCCCTAGCTTTCCTTTATAACCGCAACAGGCGAATTAATATCTTTTACTACGTTGTTTACGTCTTTTGAAAAAAAAGGGGGTTGCGCCGCTACTGAATGAGAAGAGGTGGTATGGTGGCCACACTCGCAAAGCGGGGCCTCCATGGGGATTTGTTGTAGACGCCGGAATATGGAAGCACCGTTGTTGCAGCCGAGCTTGATCGATATATGCCACTTGAGGTGAGAAGGACTAAGGGGGGATTGAGAGGGGTGAGACGATCTTTATGAAGGAGGTGATCGTCGAGAATAGATTGGGGGAACTGGGAACGTACAAGGTGCGATATTGGGAACTGTTGAGGATAATTTCGAGGGATTGAATGAAAAAGGGACCTTGTATGATGGGAAATATAGGCTCGATGATTGAGTCGGGCTGAATGTCGAGGGTCTGGAAGCTTTTGAATGGAGTAATTTGAGAATTCACGAGGGTTTCGTTGCATGTTGTTTCAAGTTGTGGACGGGGCAACGCCAGAGAGCGAGCGAGTTGACAGCTAACGGGCAGCGCCTGTTGTCTTGTTTACGATGAACGAGGAGCCATAATACATACAGTTCTTCCTGATCAGGCTTTAGGGTAGCGAAGGGCGTGACTGAATCACGAGGGCGGAAGGATAATAAACACGGGTGATGGCACAACTTATTCTCAGCGCTTGAAGGAAAGATGGAAGATAGGCCATCGTGACCGTCAACGTGAGATGTAAAAGGGGCCAAAGGCATAAGATATAAGTAGGGTGGACCATGTGAGCTGTGTCAAATGATGGATGAAGATGCATGGGTTGATGGTGAAGATGGGAAGTGCATAGCGTTGAGGATACATGCGAAGATGGAGAGCCAAGCTTGTTGTTGGGATGCACGTTCGACTCGCCAAGTTTTGATAACTCGAGTGAACAACGACCCCGTCCGTGTGCCTTTGGGAAGGGGGAGTATTCAATTGCAACTGAATCGACAATTCAATTGATATATTAATTTAATGCATGTGGCCTTTTTTTCCGAAACACACAAGTGAAAACAACAGATCTCGAGTGTTCTCTAAGGGGTTGACAAAGGGGGGGTGAGGGAATGAGGGAATCGCCCTCTCTTGCCCCCTCCCTCTCCCTCGCCCTCCTTCTCATCGCTCCCTCCTGGTCCTCCCGCTCCCCGCAACCCCCAAAAATCATTTACATAAATCTTACATACAACCTGGACTTCGATCGAACTTGGAACTCATCTTAACCTTTGTTTACATACTACCATATCTAATACCCGCCTCGAGGTGCAACCAAACCTTATTGCAAAAGAAAAAAAAGTGACAACGACCCAAGTGATGTCCGAACCGCAACCGCTTCCTACTTCATCTTCATCTCCTCCCACTTCACTCTCTCCTGTCCGTGAAGCATCGCCGCGAAAAGATCCTAACACCTCTACGAGTGCTGTTAATCCCAGCAACAAGCGTCCAATGCAGACCTACTCAATTGACACCGCGGCTCTCGATGCTTACCTTCGTTCAACAAGGAACCAACACCAGCATCAACCACTCAACCCTCACGATATTCAACATCAGTCTGTCCCTCGCCACGTCCTCCTCCATCCACCAACTTCCTCTACCATTTCTCCTTCCAACTCCCTCGGACTCATAACCACCCCACCTCATATTTCCGTGGCTAATGATCACCTTATTCTGGCACCCGCTCCCAGGCGACACTACGACACCGGTCTAGGTCTAGGTCTCCGTCCATGCGCTGCTCTACATGACGACGATGATCCCTCTATACCTTTCAACCCATATACGGATCATCTACGAACTTCAAGGCCTCGTTCTTTCACCTCTCCAAGTGTACTCCTTGCTCCACTTGCTGCTGCTGCTACCCGATCACCAGCACATAATGACCATGACGATAGTCATGGAGATACGAATTCGTTGACGATAACACGTCCCTTCACCCCTTCATCCACCGCTGGAGATCACGGCCATGGCCATGCTAACAGATCTAACTCTGTGCCAAATATTTTCACGCCGTCCTTGATTGGTCCTGCCACTGCCACTCGAAACGATCTTCTCACAAGCCATACCCATGGGGGGAACCGGTGTGAGGTTAGTGATCATCAACATTTGGATGATCCGATGAACAAGTCTCTACTGGGCGCTGAGCGGTTTCTTGAACGTATGTACAAGTTCATTTTCATTTCCCTCCCATTTCATATACTTTGTCCTCTTTCGAACCCCCCTTTTTTTGCTTCTGCCTCATCCTTCCATGATTCCGCCACCCCCAATTCTCTCTTCCTCTCCCTTCGACTTTTTCGGATTCGCTACCGTAAAAACAATGGTCCCAAATTCGGGGCTCGTCACGTCGATCTGCTTCGAATCTCGCCTTTGCAGCACTCGCATTCTTCAAGCCTTTGCCCTCGCAACGTCCATAAACCTTCTTCCCCAATAACTTGACCAATCAACATGACTATCTGCAATCACCTGGAGACGGCAACTCTCGCCCGTATCGGATGGGTGCATTTCCAAAGAGAGCAAACAAGAATAGCAAGAACTTGTCACCGCCTCGCCGACAATCGGTGCCTGTCCTCTCCCTGAAGTTCGTTCGATAGGAGAGGCCCAGAACTGCAGATCAACAAAACCCGGCCTTCCACTCCCGCATTCCTTGTTCCTTTGACCATTGTTCTATTCGGCCTTCCCCCCCACCCTGGGCTGTTTCATTTTCCTTCGGTTTCGGAGAGCAGCCTCCATTTCAACTTTTGAGAGCATTTGCAAATTCTGCAGTGATATTTATCTCTCGAACGTTCCTGCTTTGCTGTTCGTCTTCTTTTTTTTTTGGTTGACTTCCGCGGTTGCCCCTCCCTCCTGCCAACTTTGTTTTTCCCGTACCCTCACGAGTCACTAACCACCATTTTTTTCCCCTTTCTTTGATCTCTCGTTCTCGAACACACGATGTTTGAAATTTGCCTTTCCGACAACAAAGGGGCTCACCTTGATGACACCTGTCATCTGGATCCCAATTCCATTCCCACAACAAACGAATGTGAGTTCACGCTCGTTACTCTTCCGTTTCACGTGCTTTTTTTTTTCCTTCTCCCATTTTTACTACCACCTTCCTTGCCGATCCCCCAACTGCTATTTACTCGTCACGTATTATTCGGTTCATTCGAGTGTTCTTGTCCAACTCTGGTCTTCCGGACCGGCGGTTCGACAGATCGGGGTCGAGAGAGAGAGAACACTAAGGGAAGCGCATGGATTGACCAAAGGCGTGCACTTGGCATTCTCCAATCCTCATCCCAAAATTTTCATCCCTTCATCCTCCCACCCTTGGGTTCTTCTTTGGTATCTCATTATAAATCTTGAACGTAATGTGTACAAAGCTGCCACACAGAGGCAGTAATAGTACTTGCTTGAACGGTTTCGAAGCACTGCCTTCGGAGCTGATTTCGAGTCGCTACTCCATCGGACAAGGTGCAGGATCCATCCTGAAGGACGAAAAGCACATGTGTCTCGGTCCTTCGTTCTTTTCGCATGACCTCGACTTACATTCATGACTGCCTGCTTCGTATTTCATCGCTTATGTGCACCCAACTCGTTCTTTCCTTCGATCCTCTCAATCCAACATCTTTTTTTCTTCATTCCCTCCTATTTTTTACACTTCGCCGCGCGTCCGGTGATCGTTTCTATTCCTAATGAAACCCTAGCGGTCAAAAAAGTATACAAAGCTAATTACCCTTACCATCTTTTCGGGATGCCTCTCCGCTCCCATATTTAGGTCCTCCTCATACACTTGATGGTTTCCCCCGTCACCCCACCGCTGCAAGCACTCCAACTGAAGCTGCGATGGCGGTGACAACAACAATGAGAATGACCTCCGCACCAACAAGCTCGTCCTCGAATCCCCCCCACTCCTCACTCCAACATCGACAATCACGCTCCACACCCGCACCCAAACCTACACCTTCCGCCTCGACCTCAACGTCCGCATCCATGTCTGCGTGTTCTTCATCAGGTCCTCTACCACAGCGCCCCCCATCTTCTAACCCACCTTCGCCACAACTTGAACTATCTCTCCCCCCACCTTTGATGATGACAACATTCAAATCTCCCCACACCCGTTCCAACGGGAACGAGTTAAATATTAGTTATTGTTATTATTCGTCCTCAGACACGGATAGTGTTATCGAACCTATCACTGAGGAAGACTCAGAGGATCACCCACCGAAGAATAACAATAGTAATGGTGAGGGCGAGGGTGAGGAAGGGGGAAAGGCTACTGAGACTCCGAGACCGACGATGATGGTGGGTGGGAGGACCGAGAGTTATTCGAGATTTGTGGAACATTTGGACAAGGAAGGCGTTTATATTTCGAGGTCTCCTTCTCCTGTTCCCTTTGATTTGGGGATTGGGGTCGGAGTTGGAGTTAGGGGAAGGGGGCTATCATGGGCCAGGGTGAAGGGCGAAGGGAAGAAAGATAGGGAGAAGGAGAAGGAAGGAGAGAAGAGACCGTCGTCGTCGTTCTTTTCTCGACGGAGTTCAATCATTCGATCGCGCTTGTCGGGTTCGAATTCGAATTCGGATCTGAGGCTGGGATCTACTGTGGCGCCAGCAGCAGCAGTGTCTGGTCCTGGTTTTGGCCCCAGTCCCCGTATTGGACTACTACTCCCTTCAGAACCCGAACTGCCCTTGCCTTCTGCACACACATCCATCCAACGATGGTCCATGCCCCCACCCGCTCCACCCACTTCACCCACCTCTACACCACCGTTGATTCATTCCTCACCGCCACAGCTTCCTCCATTCCCAACCCCTCACCGACAAGACTCCCAATCTTCCGAACCTTTCTCCACTTCCTATCACTCACACCAAAGTTCGACTTCGAGATCCCACAGCCCCTCCAACTTGCTAGCGTTGAGCGATTGGAAGGTTAGTGTAAAGACGAAAGGGATCGTGGGACTTGTTAGATCTAGGACGACGATGGGCAAGGGTGGGGGCACCCATCGACCTGGGACTCTTGGGATGGGTGCGATGAGCGCTGGCACTGATCGGAATGGAGGTGGGGGGGCCTTTTCGAAGAGGAGTTTATTTGGGAAGAGCAAGTCGAGTGATAGTGCTCATGCTCGAGGCGTTGGTTCCTTGGAGGAGGTGCCATTTGCTGAGGGTGGAGGTGCTATCGAGGACGGACGGCGTTTGGGGATGGATGTAACGTTGTCACCACCTGTGAATCGTGGAAGTTGGGCCCGCCCTCAATCGATGTGTTTCGATGAACCGGAGAAGATGACGGCGGTGGAAGGTTTGGCGAGAAATCGGATGGATGGCAGTGAGGGTAGTGAGAATAGTCTGCAGGTGAGCAAGAGTTTTTTTTTTGGCCCTTTGTCCATAAAAATTGACGATGATTTGGGTTACTCCTTAACCTTTCCGTTTCCCTTTTTTTTTTTTCCCCATCAATCAATGAATCGTTCGGGTTTTGAAACTATAACAGCGCAAGGTGCAATCTCAGCGCTCTCGCCGTTCTCGCCTCCCCTTGATACCACTACTGTCGCATTCTCGACAATGAGTTCGGGAGGGGGAGGAGGGTAATGGACTTGGTTTCTGGATGGGGTGGAGGGATGGATTACTGCTGCTTGACGATGGTCCTAGGGGAGTAGAACTTGAACGTGTGGTCTTGGAATTTGCGCAGGCGCATGTTCAGCAGACCGGCTTGATTACCTATATCGATCATGACTCGTGTCCAAGCGCAACGACCACCGAGAGTATTGCGGCATGGAGGAATGACCTCACGGACTTACAATGTGGCTCAGTGAATGACCCCAGTCCCACTTCAATTGTACCAGGAGCCCAACTTCCCATTCTCATCTCGTTCTCGCTCGTACTCTGGTCTCAATAGACGACCTCTTCGATCCGATTCGGAACCATCCTGCCTCTTCGCCTTCGCCAATGTTACTACTGTAGACCAATTTTGTTCTTGATACTGATACTACATATCCTATATCAATCACCTCGACACGACGATATCATCATCCACATTCCTTCGTTTCAATATCGTTTTCGGGATATTGCCACAAATGCGCAAATACACCCAACCAAGGCAGGGCGGGGCGTCTGAATACGGTCTGTATATTCATTCTTTACTTGTGCTTGTGCGGACACTACTGCCGTGCCACCGCTGTCGAGTCCCAATATGATTACAATCAAGATCAATGTATCATATACAAATTCCGCTTAAGCACCTCCGACCCCCTCCCCCCCTTTCCCTGGTACCGTCTTTCGTTGTTTACGTTCTATCTCTACCAACCCCACTGGAGGGGATGTTTGCCGACCTCGCTGCAATTAGACCTCAACATTCCCGGTTCAAGACGCGCGGAGTGGCGCTGTTGTACACTATTTCGACTCCGTCGCAACGTCAGGCAGGCGAATCCTTTGGTTGTCGGGCATTTGGGCCACTGGCGTCGCGATCAGTCAACCGTTGCTCCCCATTTCTATTTCACCTCCGAAGGGGACGCTGACTCAGAAATTCCAGTACCTAGCCAGTGTCGATCTGGGAGTGCGGTGAGGTGTCGGGATGAGAAGGTCCTAGAGGCAAGTTGTTTCGTACGCGACTGCCAGCCGCCAGGGCGTATAGTCTGTATGTGCGTGGCCACCGGATCCATCCATTCATATCTGTTTCTCTTGCGATTTGGTTAGTTGGTTAGTTAAGAGTTTTTATTTTTTTATTTCTTTTATTCTGTGGATTTAGCTTGGGTTTGTGCGTGTATGGTGGATGGGTTATCACCGCCCATGTGGACGATGATGGACCGGGTCGAGGCGTACTGGCATCACCGTGCCTGAACCGCCGACGCTCGAGTCCTTGAGCCTTTGTATTCTTATATGCAGTAATTTTGATCCCCCCCGATCGCTCTCTCGTTGCTTGCTTACCTCCTTCATGTCTTTTGGACAATGACTGTCTTCACTACTTGTGTGCTTTATTGTACCCCCTCTCCGTATATGCTCACTCAACGAATTCCGTTCCGAATGTGTGATTCGGGCCGAAAGCAGCTAGGATTGGCGAAAGAAAGGGCTACATAATTTCATGTGCGGAGAATGCGGATACAAATTGAAGGACCCTAGAGGAGGACCTAGTGGCGGGGGTGTCCATAATAAAGCAAACAAACAAGCGGATCGCGTCCGTCGAGGCTTGGTTTCGGCATTGGGCGTGTACGATTTGAGCCAGAAGACTTGGACTCGGCCACACGTGTGTAACCCCAGATATGCCTAGTTGCCCAATCAACAATTTCCACACAGCAATGAGATGATGGGCGGTAGGCATCAGTCTTCCAGCCTCTAAGTTTGGTAGGTGGAGCAATAGTAAGTACTAATCGGCCGGGCTCGGCCACATCCGCCACCATAGAAACGTCTGGCCATTACTCGAGAGATGCACGCATCTGTATAGGGATAATTGAACAGGCAATATATCCCAGCCTCTATGAAAGCGATACCATTGAATACTCCCTTGCTGGCGAAACACCCAGGCGGAAGGGGTGGCGTCGCGCGTTTCCTAGTATTTCCATGCTTCCTGCCGGGCTATACTGGCCCGCGATCATTTGAAGTGATCACTAAGATGCTACTAGTGGTATTTCTCCCATCTTGCGTCTGTGGAACAGTTGTGCTCGCTGTGCATCAAGGAGAATTGGATTTTCCAGTCACCATTACCGGCAATTTTTGGCACAGGAAACGCTCAACTTTCTAATCCATACCTGCCCATGGCAGCGGAGGTTTAGCTTTGCATTTTCTCTGAAAAGCAGCTAGGTGCGCATAGTTTTAGATGAGCGCTTATTGGAACCCATGAGCGCTAAATGGTGGATAAGATGATATCGATATCAGCTCTTCGCGGTGCTCCCACCTCAAGGCACCTATGCGGGAAGAACCAGCGAATTATCCGGCGGGTCCATACATGCAGCCGACATGGAAGGGTATCAAAGCACTTCGTGCTGCTATACAGGACCTCCACTGGCAGATCTACAGTCAGAACCGGCGCCAGAGAGTAGGAAGTTGATTTTTTATACCCTAGCGATGACCAACACGACGTCGAGTAGTACCTCGCCTGCCTCACGATACTGGCTATGGCTGCGCGAGGACAATAGCCCGTTCATGCATGTCACCTAGCAGTGGGGAGTGCGGACACATCATGCCCATGACATACATCACCATATTTCATATGAAAACTTTCCAGTGCCGGTCGTAAATGACACCCAACATAGATATCGTCTCGAAATGGAATAGATTGAACGCATTTCCTGCATCCTGGCATTACCAAACAGGTCCTACCAATGCGATCCACTAGAGTGGGTTGATGCATGCATTCGATGATCTGTTGGAATGTCCCAAAATGGTATCTTATCACAAAGATCCCTAAAACAACAGTCGTAAAATCAAACGCCACGTCGATGAGAGTGTGACCATTGCCTCTGGGTAACAACCTTGTCGGCTAGGCCAATAGAACTAGCCCTATCGCGACAATAACACTGGTTTTGCCCCATCGTGTAAATGACTGTGCGTGTCTGATGTCCGATCAGAATCCCACTTTGGGGATTGAACGGCTTTTGGTCACACTGACTAAAAAAGTACGAACAGCGAGAAAATTCATCCATCCAACATTTCGGGAGAGATCTAGACATTCTATTTTTTTTTCAAGGAAACGTTCCTCAAGTCCCATCCAAAATTGTCAAGCTCGCTCGCCCCAGAAGGTTTACTACGTTCAGGCCTAAACAGGCAGGTCATCCAAAACCGAAGGGGTACAACGTTTCATACGAAGCGAAGGCTGTCCCCGATAGGAATGACTGTTATAGAGGTAATTCCGGGACAGGAAATATCGCGGGCCACTCGCTCTGATGGACATGCTTGTGAGCGCCACATGCCCAAGAAACACTCATGCAAGCCGCACCGCTAGATATCAGTTCAGGTACGGCGGAATGGTCATGGGAGGTATCCTCAGCCAAACAGGGATAAATCACGAAGCAGTGCTAAGGAATATGTTGAGGACTGGCGAAAGTGATGAACATGTATCTCAACTAGCTCCAGGAAAGCGGCCGCGTAGCAGATGCATAGGTATTGCCTCGCACCTGGCAGAATGTTGCACTACAATACAGCCAACAACCGGCCAATGCGCGCCCATCAGAGCGAAACCAAACCGCACGACCGGCCGGTCACTTGTTCGTCACTGTCCTTCCACGGAGTCAAGAGGGTCTCCTAGGCGTAATTCTCAGAATCCAAGTTGTCACCAGTTTAGAACCTAAGATGGCCATTTCGTGATCACGGGTGGTGTCCTAATAACATAGTACTGGGGCCGCAGCTGCCAAAAATATTTTGCAACCGAGAGGAATTTTAGGGAGGAGAGACCCTATCCCCAGCAAACCACAACTCTACACGACATTCGCGCTGCGACGGAGGGGCACGGATGCCAGTCCGTCGAGAAGCGCGCGGCACCCCCGTTCCCACGGGTAGCCTAACCACTGGTCTCTCTCTTGAAGTTGAACTACTCCTCGGATCACGACTGGCTTTCAAACAGAATCCTTTTCCGCCGAAATTTCTTTGGGGTGGGAAGAAGGGGGAGGCATGACCCCCTTTTTGCTGATCCCTTTGTACAACCGTAATGCTGGGCAGGATCCCAGCCTCTACTAAGTAGACGTGGATCTACTGTTGAGAGTGGACCCAATATAATGAATGGCGTTCGCCAACCGTAGGAACGAAGACTTGATCATTAAAAGAGATAGCATACACGTCATCATGTCAGTGCAATAATTCCCCGCCGTTGTGCTCATCGCAATTGAAGCCTATCTAAGATAACTCTCCATACACGGTGAGTAAGTGTCAGGGGCTTATCAATTGTTGCGCTCCCTTCTGCCCTTCTGTTCGTGCCACACCATAGAGACAATCACTAGTCGTGCGCTGCAGTCGTGCAGGTTGTTCAGTTGAGTGTCGCCATTAGCACCCAAAGCACTGGCGGCCAACATTTGTACAGTTACGCTCCATGCAGGACATATTTTCCGATGTGCCGGCACCTCTCCCTTACCTTGTAAGGTAATCCCACATTACTCTCTCATCCATAAACGAGGAAGTGTTCGCATGGCGTCCAATTCGAGTATCATATTTTCCGATGATGATGATGGTGGTGGAAAGCGCGTACAATCTGCTACTAGTGCACGAGGAAATCCGCATCCCATAGCTTTCCGTACCCCCCTCCTCCAACCAACCAACATCATCCTCATATTCGGTCTAACTGCGCAACATATTTCCGAAGTGGGAAATACCTCGTATCCGTCCAACTTGAATTGCTTCAGATCGTTCGCTTCGACACATACATTCCCAATTTTATGGTAATTTCAGTTAACATGAATTGCGCAGTGTTCCCCCTGGAATTCCATTCATGCAATTACCCACCCACCGAAATGTGTTTCCATCCCAAAGATCACATTTCCCGGTACTCCTATCTCTGCTCAGGGGTTTCTTTCTCCTTCAAGGGTGAAACAAAGACCATTGGACCTTTCCTGCAGTTTATTTCGGCTGACATTATCACTCATGGGCGTTGGCCTGATTCAAAGCACGCCCGGGATTCTATGTTTCAAAACATTCCCCTTCCTCCGGCGCCTACAGCCCCTATCGCCTAAGCTTTTCCGATTATTAGTTGGATAGCAACACACCCAATACGAGCTATCCGGGCCGAATCAGAATGCAGAGCTTTTCAAACTACGGTGGCAGGCTTCTGTGCGTTCGTTGCCTTGCACAACACAACCCCAACGCTCTGGCCGACGTGTCGTCGAGACCTGCCCGTCCCTGCTATCTTGCCCTGAATTACACTAGCTGTTCTGAAAATTACCTTATATGGGAATTTTTGGGATTGACACAGCGATATTCAGTTTTTTGCCACCAACACCCAGGATAGGAGCGTGAGCGAAGATGCTCCTAGGGAATTTTGAGGCACTGCCTCCCAGAAGGGAAGTCGCTGTACGTACGCACGGCCATACGCAGGGAGGTAACTGCGAAATCTTTGATTGGCGGTTAAAACAGGTGCCGGATGCTGACGCGCACTATCACTGTCCAGCTCACAGACCTGGCACTTGTCTTTGCTCATGTGTAAATCTCATGCATTGATACCACTAAAGAACAAGTTGAACGAACAGTATATCTCATAAACCCTAAATCTCAGTGCGCAATGGAGATTGGTGGCCAGGGAATGGGGAATGGCGTAAAGCAGGCGCGAGATTTTAAAAAGAATTATGAGATCCGTAAAGACAACAGCGTGGACGCAGAAGAACGAAATGGAACCAATTGAAAACTAAAAGACATAATACAAAGGAGGCCTGCCAGGACCGTAGTCCATGACGGGGGACAGTGGAAAGTATCGTTACTATCATAACGAATACTCGTCACAAACAATTGGATAGCAAGATAATACAAACGAGGTCTCTGAGGGATGTGCGTCTAGTCAACAGCCTCCCGGCTTCACCTAGGGTGACTCTGGGGGTGTCCACAATGCCCACTGGTCATTAGATTGGCCGGAATAAAGTCCCATGGCGGGGTGGGAGGGCAGGGATGAGCCGAAGGCGTCCAAAGGCGACGGAATCTGAAGGCCCGCTCCTTGGATAAACGACATCCAAGATTCCTGCGGCCCCACGGAGTACCCGACGTTGGGGTGCTGCTCTACGTTGCGGGCGGAAGACTGGGACCCAGAAACAGGGAAACAGTACGACGCAAATGATGCAGTGTCAGGGGATGTAGCTTCCCCCTGTCCTGACGAGAGAGGCACAAGCGCGTTGCGACGGAGGCCATCGTGGGGGAGTACGCTGTCTGTAAGGCTCAGCCTTGCGAAACCATCTCCGAAATCTCCAGCATTCCAGGGACTATCAGACGTGGCACTTGGGCGGCCTTGACAGTCGATACTCATGTAGCTCGGCAGGCGGGCAGCTCGCTGAGCGGGTACAAGGGAGACATCGGTTGACTGCTCCGTGGACTTGAGAGATGTCATATCCCTAGGTTCAGAATAGACGACGCCATCGTTCGCAGCAAACCGACGCACTTCTGGAGCGTGTGGAGCATCATCCGTAATCCGGGGTGCGGTTAAATGAGAAAATTTAGACACGGGAGATGTTGACGAACGCCGTTGATGATAGAATACCACCGGGTGACCAGACGAGTCGTGTGATAAAGGTTGGTGTTGCTCAAGACGACCATCATGGAGCTGGGATGATGGTGATGGCGAATCAGTGGTGAGCGCATCGGTGCCGAAGTAACGGGCTTCCTGTGCAGAACGCGATTGCGAATGATGAATGGCTGCGCCGCCATACTCACGTCCCATTGGTGACTGGGGCCGAGGCCTCGAACCAGACATCATGGGGATTGGCGGAGAAGGGGGGTAGGTCGCGTTCCGGCGCTCAAGGGCCACATTTACAGACGAATCCTCACTGCCCAACGATGGTGAACGAGAGTTTGGGCTGGAGCTGGAGGAAGATAGGTGCGGTGAAGTCCTGATAGGCGGGGACATTTGTGATGAAAAGGGCCGGGAGGTGCTAGCATCAGGGAGCCTGGATAATGAACGGCGGGTGCCTTCCTCGATCCTCCCCCTTGGAGAGGCCGTAGCCTGAGAGGCATCTGGGCGGTTCTGGGCGTTTCCTGAGGTGCCCTTTGTCTTCTCCTGTTTCTGGATCCACCAGCAACTATGTTGATGGCGTGTCATGTTGCTCTTGTAGCTGCTGGTATAATTACAGACGCATGTGTAGCCTAAAACGGTAAACCGTGAGCGCCTAAGTCCAATCCATGGGCACTGCTGACCTGCAGAGAAGGTACGTACGCTTCACCGAATCGTGCATATCCATGTGCTATGAAGAGTGGTCGTGGGTCGGTTTGGGTCGCTTCTGCAGTAAGCATGTGGGGTCCCGACACTCACCTCGCGAAACTCACTGGGGCGCGTGCAACGTCTGGAGCACTTGGGGCATGCAAACTTCCTAGGCCGTTGCATGGCAGTGCACAAGTGGTGAGCTGAGGGTGAATGAACACTGTTGTGGTTGCGTGGAGTGAAGCTGAGCAGGCCGCTTCGTCCCGCCAGGAGGGATGGTGACTAGGGGCACGTAGATGAGGGAGTGGATGGGCGCGTAGATGCATGGGGGAGTCTTTTGTAGGCAGCACCATTGGACAGACTAACGGAGGGCCAGCAATTCAATGCTGGTTCAATTCAATTTGGCACTTCATTCATCAGGTGGAAATCGGGGAATATTTGGTCTCCCAATCAGGCTGTATATCCACGGACCTAACTACTGAGGCATTTGGATCCATATTTCCCATTCGGCTACTTTCAAGCTGGTCGGCCAAACAGCGTCTTGCACGTGCACACTTCTCGCCAGAAGCACTCGACATGCAGCTACCAGGACAGTGAGAGCACGCATCAGCCCAAATAGCTCCGTTATGACATCTCCAAGAGATATGGGTAATTAATAAAACACATGGAATCTCGATCATATGGTTACGGCGTCCAGCACAGCTGCTGGGCGAGGTCTTCCGGATATAGTAATTACTTGAGCAACATTCACTTTTACATAGGTCTGAAATACCGCAAAACTGGCGCTCAAGGGCTGTGAAGGTGTGTTATTTTATTTGGATAATATCGAGTTAGCGAGGATGTCCGGGGAGAGATGTTGCACTGAATGAAGCTATGAGCGCTTGTTGGCTCACGGAAAGTGGTCCGATACTGCTGCTATGCTAAGGGGAGCTAAAGCGCAGGAGTGGAAACAATATTTCCTATCAGCGGGTCAGCAACAGCATGAAAACTGCGCGTCCCAGCAGCAATGATTGTAATTGCCCCAAATGTGCACGGCAAATCACAACAACTTCATACAGCATGTCCGCCGATGGCTTCTTCCCAGTATCGCAAAAAAGGTGGAGATCGTAATACACGTTTTCCTGGGAAGTCGATTATAAGCGCCTTTCTTCTCTTTCTCCTTTTTAGGTGCCGAGGGTCGCTAAATCCCGACGCCAATTCACTTGTTAAATAGACAATTCAATCGTCCCCGATCTTGCATCCTGAACGTCTACTATCAGCAAACGGGCGCCTTTTCGAAGCTGATCCCTATCAGCACTCCTGTGCTCTCTGTACACGCGTCACAGTCGCTTTCATTGTCGTCGCCTCCAATATATCAGGTCACCCCACGAGGTAGGTGATCAGCCTCTCTAAGCACAAGGGACAAAGTAATTCTTCTTCGCCAATCATATGAAACTCTGAGGCACCCGCGGTTTTCGTAGATAAAAACTTTGATGCACATAGAATGGCTGCTTATTGCTTCTTTTTGAAATCGTTGTTTGCCATTGTTCTCGTACTCATTGAACTGGTAGCACCTGTTTCGCATGAATGAAATGGTCCAAACCCCACTTGAAGTGTCAGCATAAGCGATGGAAACGTTTCCAATAAAATGGATAGCCTTTATGTTACAATGAAAGACTAGGAACTCCCATTCCAGCTAATATATCAGTGTCCAGCGATATTTTCCCGGCCTTCCATCCTAGAATGTTCTGTTGGTGCAGTTGGGTACACCACTCATTTCCATATGGTAGTGGGCTTTGAATTGGGTTATTCAGACAGCCCATACTGGCGCTTAGTAAGGAAGATCTCGAGGCAAACCAGCGCTCCGCCGCCGTCCTGTGTGGTTGACGATATCCTATGGGAATATTTACCCTCCAATTATGCCTTGTTTATCATGATGGATCCGAGTACGTCAGTTATACCAGACCCTGTTCTGGGGATCGATCTAAGGTGTCTCGAGAGAAAGTCACCCCACCGTCAGGCTGCTCAGAGTCTCGAAGCACGGAGACCGACAGTAATTGACATGGTGACGCCGGCACGAGCCTGGTTAGTGTGACAGTCGATACGGCTTACAAGTCGTGAGCTTTGAACACACCGTAGTCCCAGCACATATACACAGCCCTCATGATCTATGGGCGACACCTCATCCACAGCCCCCACAAGAAGCTCCAAGGGTATAGCCATATTGCGTTCTCAGGCGCCCCTCTGCTATATATATATATCATGCAGCCGGTCTAGTTCTTGTACCGTCTGCTTACCTAGGCACTTCAAACCGGAGAGCGTTTCTGATATGACGAATTGGGGAGTTGGCCCAGTCAGGAGTCCCTCAGCATTTAGACAGCAACTTAAAGTCTGTCGGTGTTCGCTGCCTTTTGAACCAGCAGACTACGCTGTTGTCCGAGCTTGGAATTGGTCAATGTTTCACGATCACACGCTGTCATTGGAGAACCGAAGGCTTGGATATATTGTATCTGATTGCGCATGTATACCATCTCGATTATCCTGGCGGTTCTGTGGATGTGTCTGTCCGTGTGTTGGCACCCAATCCGAGGTCCGACGGAGTTTTTGTAGGTGCTTTTTGCAGGGAAACAGAGAAATTAGCCATCAGCTTGGTAGGATGCTACTCTCTATTCACTCGTCCAAACGCGAGTGCCTCTCCAGGACTGCAAGTCCGCATCGTCCACGCACGGAGCTATATGTCCAATAAACAGAATCCCTCAGAGTTGCATGCCATTCAACCAAGTAGCTTGTGGCTCCGGCGGCCCAGAACATGACATTCTAAGAGACCGCCATCGGCGTCAAAACCTTTTTGTTGGCTTGAGGATGGAGTGCACATTTAGTTTAGTTGAAAGATGGATTATGTAGTGAAGAATGGCAGCACAGTCCTAGTGGAACGATGATTGGAAGTAGTCTGTGTTCTGGTTAAGTAATTAGCAGGACACCAGCTTTCGTTTAACCTGCTGGTTGCACTTACAGCAGTAAACATCATGGAACGGGGAGTGGTCATGAGCATGGTGAATACTTCAGTGGCCTGATCATCGGTTACGTGTGTTGCAGGCGCAGCGTGAGGTGCCAAATTGCATGGTGTTGCGCAACTCTTACCAAATGAATTGGCACCCGGCAACTAGCGTAAGCTACCTTCACGCGTGAGCTTAGGCAGGTTACCAGCCTCTATTAGTGGCGTGAGCTCAGCCGTCCAGGAAGACTTGCCTAGGACATTCTTTCAGGCTTTCAGCTCACTATCGCTGGCGATTTTAAGCCTCAAACATCAGGTCAACAAAGCACAAGACCGAATGCATGGAAACATGATAAATGCAAACAAGAGACACTCGATTAACCTCACCCTGAATCAATGTGATGAACCCTCTGGCCCTGGTGAGTGATCGGCCCAATCGCTTGAATGATGCAACATCTCGAGAATGTTTTGGCATGCGTGGAATGTCCTCAAGGTTCGCCTCAAGCTCTCGGGTCGGGCTTGCAAGTCGGTTGGGCAGTCGATCAGATAATATTGGGGTTACGGAGTTAGTACATTTTACAACAATCGGAGGCGAATGCGGGTGGAAGTTGGACTCGGGGCTAGGATCTTGTTAAGTATAGGTCCATGCCATTAGGCATGCACTGTACTAGCTGGACGAGGCCGTCTGCAAAAGGCAGGGATAATCCAGGTGGCGTTGAGTAGGATGGATGGCAGATAAAGTGAAAGACGCAACCATAAATGGAAAAGGAGATGGGGAGATCGCCGATTTCTGCTGCGTGCCAGATGCAGGAGTGAACGTCACTACCGAAAATAATGACTTCCATGGGATTCTAACTCCCTGTACAAACCCCAAATACATATAACTGTGGAACGCCGCTGAAGCGGCAGATCCGCTACTCTTACCTCGCATGCGTGTTCACTCTCAACGTTACTATTGGCTGAGATGAAGCCGAGATTTACTCTCGCTCTGTAACCCACCGCATACTCTGATAACCACATAATTACACTGCAGCATGCAGCAAGCGGAATAGAACTGTATGGGCAGAGAATGGACCTGGGTTTGGGGTCATACAGGACCTGTGCATAGGACAATTGAGTTGGAGAAAAAAACGTAGGACCGCTACGGAGTAGCGGAATTATGTATCGCGAAAGCTAATGGGTTCCACCAATAAAATAAAATAATGACTTCAAGTAGTGCGACCGCGGTTACAGTTGCTTCCGCATGAATCCTTTCTCGTGAATAGCACCCCCAATTTATCAACTCTATGAATACATTCCAACAATCCGTTTGGCAAAAAGTGTTGAAGCTGTTCACGGAGGATTCATACGGAAGCAAGAAATACGCGACAGATCAACTGAAAACGGCAGTAACCTCCCGTGCTTTCCCACGCTCCCAACCTATTGAGCCTTTTCACGAGTTTAAGTCTGAAGGCTTTTAACGTCTACCGCTAGCGCTAAAGTCGGATGGGTTCCACCGGTGATAGCCTGGAACTCATGCGTTCCCCAAGTATATCCGAGTCTTTGACCCCAACTCGTATTCCCCTTATCAATCGGTTATTTTGGGACCCACGCTCAGAAGCCAGGCCCTCAAAGTTTGCACGCGCGTTTCTGGGGTCTCCGGGTGCCACTTCAGCCATTGCTAAAGACTCCGATGGTTCGAGATGCGTAGTTGCTGGGAGAGAATGTACGTGATGTTCCTGGTAGAGACTGCTTCCCACAAGACGGATTTGAGTAATGGCTAACGCTGTGTCAATGCACACATATTTACTCAGCGCTGAAAGTCATTCGTATACGAGACACCCCCGACTTGCAACCAGAACGATTGGCACAAACGCAGGCCCCGAGGAGAGCGATCCGTGTGCTGGCTACTGGCCCGGGAGGGGCTCAACTAGTGGAAGAACTGAATCTATGGGGACACTCCCGCTTGCCTCCCACTAGTTCACTGATGACGGACGTCGTATGGGGTTCGGGACGTGAGCAAACGATGCTAATCTCATGAGTGCCAACTAAGATTCTCCAAGCATCCTCGAATAAGATTGCTACCTCCTGCTCAAATGGAGATATCATATTATGGGATATAAACAAGGGCGGTTCCAAGCTGGGTATGTGACGCTCGTTCTTGCACTTTTTTACGACTTCATCTTTCCATAGAAAAGGTTTGGCGTGAGGAGCATCAAAGAGCTGTGAATTGTATATTATTTGGTCCCACTCTTCCTCACTTGCTCCTCACCGGGAGCCAGGACACCATTGTCAAGATTTGGGTATGAGCATCCTCTCATCAAACTGGGCTACTCTTATACAGAGTCAGGATATTCGCGTGCCCAACGGTGCCCGGCTTTCACTCCCCCATAGCACTGCGGTCCGCGCCCTAGCCATGTCACCGAATCCATTGTCCGCATCAGTACAACATCAATGTCTGGTAGCACTGGAAGGTGGCGATATCGTACGATGGGATATTCGGGCCGTTGCACCTGCACCGGGAGCATCTAGCGGGAAGGGTTCACTTGATAAAATGCCCGTTGCCCATCAAGGAGCCATTCTTGGGATGGATTGGTCTGTGAGCGACGGAAAAGGGTGGCTCTGTACAGGCGGACAGGATAAAACCGTAAGGGTCCGTAGACATATCCTTCATTCCCGTGCCGAAGTCATAAACTGTCCTCATACCTGAAGGTCTGGGACATATCGCACCCAACACTCAGTTCTACTCCCGTCCATACGCTCCATGCGCCCCATCCCATCAAGAAGGTCAAATGGAGGCCGAATAATCCCACCGAGATTGCAGTTGTGCCTCGTACCGTAGGGATTTCTCCCCTAGGTATAATTCCGTCAGATCCAAATCTCCCTGGGAAGGAGGCTGCCAATATTGCAGCTAGATTTGCTCCAGGAACGAGGGCGGATTATGTTGAGGATCCTGACCGGGTGGAAGTATGGGACGTGCGTAGGCAGCACATCTCCAAGTACGTTCTGCTTGGAAGTGAAGGCGCATGTGCGGGTGTGTCAAGCGTTTTCCAATCTCGAATACGGAACAAATACTGACGCTCATTACATCATTCTAAAGCTGTTCTCTGGACGGATTCCGATTCACTATGCGCAGTGTACCAAAATGGTGCCTTTACTAGACACGATGTTCAGCACTCCTATACTCCAATCGACCGTGTTCCACGTCATTCGATGGCTTGGGATGCCATGGGTGGAATGTCGTTCATTACTGGCAAGAGGGACATAGGAGAAATTCCTTTCGATGATGTGTCAGTGTTAATTGTTTCGATTGGCCATTGGTGCTAACTAGCATTATTAGGGTACCAGCACTCGCCTTCCCCCAAAAAAACCCTGCGGAAGTACGGTTCGAATCCTCTCAGGTAGCAGCTTACGTGGCCGGCCCGATTGCTACTTCGTTCGACAAGCATACTTTTCGCACCATGGCACGATCTTACAAGCTTGAGGGCGACTCGCAAATAGCCATATGCAAACATAATTCAACGGTACGATTAGTGTTCTCTCCCCTTTCCCACAGCTCACCGCAGCGTTCCATAAGATTGCCACTGAGGTTGGTGACTGGAATGCGGTACAAGTATGGGACAAGCTTCGAGGCCTTCTCGCCGAAACGCTCTCTTTGACACCATTAGCGAGTCGTTGTCACTCGATGTCCCGTAGTCCTTCCAGGAGTTCAGTCGCATCCTCAGTGTTGTTTGTTGATGATGCCGACGGTGGTAGTGGTTTCCTTTTCCCGCTGCGTAGCCACATAAAGTCCCACAGTCCCAGTGAACAAGCACTAGGCCGTACATCTAGAGATCCGTCCCAGAAACGACATCGCCGTAGAGTATCATCTCTTAGCAAAGGCTCTGCGAGGTCACTCGCTGCGCAGTCGTTATCTCGGTCAGTGTCTCGAGATGTCCCAGAGAGCGCAGACCAACGTAAGACATCAACACCACCGAGCACTGCTCTCCATCCGACGAATGGACTCTCAACCATTGGAACCGTTTCTGTGGTCTACTCAAATCAGAAGAAGTCTCCCAGCCTCAATTCACCACATAGTCAGCACTCATCTACGCGGAAATCTCCAGTTTCTCCAGTGACGTCGACTTCTCGATCCAGCACGATGAGTTTATCCGGTCGGGGTCGTCGGAAGCCAATTTCCGATGGTCGAGGTCCTGAGTTGGGACGAGCTACTTCCGGCACAAGGAGTCGCTCGCATAGCCTCGGAAGCGCTGCTGCTTTGCTCGCACTCGGCGATGATGATACTGGTTCTGGAGAAAGGAGTGATGACGAGGACGACGACTTAGATGACAGCGATGTCAGCCTCGATGGGCCGTCATCGCGAAACCCCGCGCCTCGTCCTTTAACTTCCCTCCCGGAAATCAATGGGGATGATGCAAGCGTGTTCAACATTTTGGAATTAGCCCCCAGTCCTAGAAGTGTAGTTGCAGTCCCACCGAGTCAGAAGGCACATCCATCGTCAGGCATTGGCTCAAATGCATCAGATACAGGCGCACTTGGCGATGATAATTATGATTCATCGTCGTCAATTGATGGTCCTCGTCATTCCTCATCGAAAGCCCAAGATAAAAAGGGTGCCTCAACTTCTGGACCTAATCACCACGGAGGGAAAATCATGCTGCCTGTTCGCGCGATCGATCATTATTTGGACAATAGAACAGCGGACGAAGAAAGGTTGGGAATACCGAAGGTGTTTTCCGAGCTGAGCGTGAGGACCGCGGTACCTAGCAAACAATCCCACATCCACTCGTCGTTCGTGTTTCCGCAAAAGCAAGATGAAGCAAGCGAAAATCTTTTTATTACTGGTACAAAATCTAGAGAGCGTCTCAGCTCGATCAAGTTCCAGAGTAGTATGACAATTAAGGCTCATGGCTCTGGGAATGACAGAGATAACAGAGTCTACCTCCCGAAGCATGGTAGGGGTCGTTCACGATCATCCCGAAGGGGAAATAAGGTGTCGGGCGTGGAGATCGAGGCAGCACATCAACGAATATGGGAGCTGGGATGGGAATCTCTTCGCCAACGTATCGAAGAAGAGATTGCATCTGGGAACATCCAGCTCGCGGCTACTGTCTGTATTGTTGCCGGAGGGAAAATATTTGACAATAAACAGATTGAGGATTTATGTGCTACGTACGTCGGTAAGCACATTCAGCCACAACCTGCAATGATCGCTTATTCACATGACCGTGCGTAGAGGTGCTTACACGACTAAGGCTCTTTAGTTCTGCCGCACGAGTCCGGAAATTTTCAAAACTTGAGGGTATTTGTATGGCTTCTATGGTATTTCACGTTCCTATATTACACGGGATGTCACACTTAGTTGTTTGGCAGCTTGACACCGATATTCATATGGCGTGCGCAAAGTGCCGCAAGGCGTTCCTTGTCCCTGTGCACATCGCACGTAACCGCGAAAACTCTGGCCTGTTTCAATATTGCAAAAATTGCAGGAAGGACAAGGCTCGGTGCTCAATCTGGCAAGTCCCCTCTTGGGCAATTGTCGTAATGAACTGAACTTCTCTCAGTCATTTGCCAGTCAAGGGCCTTCTATTCTTCTGCCAGTCCTGCTCACATGGTGGCCATCAAGAATGTTATCGCGGGTACATTTTGGCGCGGCCACTCATACGAGATCCTCGACAGAACCCATTGCCATTCGACGTCCGAGGACGTTCAGCCAGGGGTGGAGCCATCCGTACCTCTTTCGGCTCCCAGCAACCTATAGCAGCTGAATCAAGTTCTCTGGGTTCTACGGAACCTGACGCCCAGTTCGAAGCAGACGAAAGCGCTCTTGCGCTTCAAAAGATCAGCTTCATGAGCCACAATAAGGCCCAACTGCGTTTTCATGCATGCCCTACAGGATGTGGACATTTTTGCTGGGGAACCAACGACGCATCAGACTGACTTGCAGTGTATTTCCCTACATCGCGCATGTCAGGAGTTCATTTATCGTTATATTTATCGCTATACCGCTGAGCTACAGCCCTCCTGGGTAATTCTTACTGTGTTTGCGAGTTAATTACTTGTTATCGGCCGGCCAATACGCGGTTATCAATTCCCGGAGGTCAGCAATCAGTGCGTCGGGGTTGTCGAGTGCTGGAAAGTGACCACCCCTAGTATGAGCTACACAAGACATCGTTTGACTAAGGACTTTGTCAAGGTGGCGTAAGACGCACTGTTGTACTGCACCACGGAGCCGCAGTTCTCGATCCACGAACGAGGATGTATCCTGTGAAGAAAAAGTCGATCACAGTCAACCCATAACCAATATTCTCACTTACACAATCTCGTAGGGCTGCAAAAGTGTAACCCAGAATTGATCATAGGGCCAGTAAGCAGAGGCGCTAAAACATGTACTCACGAACGCGCTTATCCCTAATTTGGACTTTAATTTTCCCCATGAAGAAGGGCTTACAAAGGCAGCCCTGATGTCATCATTCTGAAGGTAAATCATGACGGAAGTGTGGAAACTCTCTGTGAAGTAATATATTGCCACGGTTTCAAGAAGATTGTTGACATCCCAAAGGTCAGGATCAGACCAGGCTTGCATCTTCTCGCCGATGTAAGCCAGTAGGGCAAGAGGGGAAACACCTACAGTATATCCTATCGTGGAGGGCTAGAAAGCGCATGTGTCAACGACGCAAGATCGATGTCACATTCACTCTTAACTCGCCTTGGTGCTCTGAATGGCGGAATATCCCTTTCCTATTAATGCAAAGTTTTATGCGGTTAGTCGAAGAACAATGGCGTGTCAAACCCACCGAACTCGATGAACTCGTCCGCTCTTCGCAAAGCATTGATTTCCGTCTCGTTAAGGCCCCAGAATCTACCCTTCTCAGCATCAGCCACCCAGTTTGGTTCCGCGCAGTAGAACATATTGAAATGTATGAACGGGGCGTTGTCCGAGTGATGCTCCGCAGTTGCTCGCAGGATGTGAGCACCCTGTTGACGCAATCTCGGTTACTGGGACGCGCGCAGTGGACAATGGACACACCCAGTCCCCGCCCTGGCCAAAGTATCTCGAGTAGCCCAAAACCTTAGTCATAAGGGTGTCGAAGATTCTAGCGATATCCACTGTAGTAAACTTGCGGGTTCGCGGAAGCGATGAGAACCCATAGCCCGGCAATGAGGGCGCAACGACATGAAACCTGAAATGTATTTAGGCCTGGCAATATAGATTATGCGAAGACCACCACGGTATACGTACGAAGGGTGATTGGGATCGATGGGGTGGGCCAATGGTTTGATGATCTTCTTGAAATCCCAAAAGGTGCCTGGGAATTATCACTATCAGGGAAAAGTATGGTCTTGACATTGTAAAGGACGTGGGGTACCGGGCCAGCCGTGCAGAATAAGGATAGGGACGGCGTTCGGATTTCCACTCCGCTCATGAATGAAATGTACACGGCAATCCTCAATCCTTGCTGTGTAGTGCTCAAACCTTGAAACGAGGAGTCTGACTTCAGCCGATAAACGCCGGGCCAACCAACTTACTGCTTTATCTCTTCCTCCAACTTATGCACGTCCAACTTTTCTAGAGCTGCCTTCCAATCCTTCAACTGCTTCAGATTCACGCCCAATTCCAAGTCAGACTCTTCGGACGAGAAATTGAGTGTCTCATCAGGATACGTTTCGCACTTGAGGGCGGTCTTCCACTGCTCATACCGAGCCGGGTTGATCAATTTCAAATCAAGTTTGGATGCCATTCCGATCCCAGGGGCAGAGATGGAGAGATGTGCGGAAAAGCCTGGAGCTCCGGTCGGCAAGTTCCTGCGTGCATCTATCCGCGCTCAATTGAGTTTTATCCCAGAGAAAATTTCATACGTGGGACCGTCGACGAACGGGCGGGATACTCATGGACGCATAAGAGATCAACAAGGGTTCATTATGTCATTGCAAACTCCTGACCACGGAGCTGACCAAAAATATGTCACTGCATACGGCTCTGCCTGCGGTCTTGACAACGTTCATATGTCAAATTGGATATTTTCAGGGCAAGTTCACTACGTGCTTACTCCCCAATATGTGACCCTCAGACTTCAACCCACAGCGGCGGCTTATCTTGACCGAATCTCTGGACCAGATGTGGATTTGACCCTGGGTCATCTGGCCATCGGGGCGATAAGGCGGAGGCTATCATGAATCCCAAAGAGGAAGGAGTTTGCTGGTTCGAGGCCCAACACTTGCTGATTGATGGAATTTTTCAACGGGAGTAATTTTCATTAGGCGCTTATCCGAACCGTCGCATCAGTGATGTCAACCACTTGTCATGGGTGGAGGATGCGTCGCACATGGGGGCACGACACGCAAAGGAGATAGCCGGAAACAGTTTAGTGAGACAACCACGGGATCAAGATCGGCCATCGACGATACATTATGAGCAATGGTGATGATGGGAGTTGGGGATTGAGATTGCAGTCCCAGCTTCTTGGGGTTATCAACACTTACATCACCAGTTTCATCGGTCGTGAAGGTGTTTGGAGGGTGTGTGTGAAGCAGAAGCGTGCTCTCTTTGCGCTCGCCCTGAAAGCGCGCTAGCCGAAGATCGCACGGCCGATTGAAGAAGATCTGACGGTACACACCATAGCCGCAACGAGTTCAACGAGTCCAAAAATTTGCAATCATGGGGCAAGTGAGCGGAAGTTGGCAGGACAATGCGAAATTACAAGCAGGCGAAGGGCAGGCATTATGTAAACGGCAAAAGGTTTGAGGCAAAAGGTTGGAACCCAACCTTTGCGAGGGATATTTTTTCCAAAAGGGATCTGCGGGCGGCACATGGATTTCCCCTGCCCGAGGTGATAGCTCGTTTCGCAGATCATCCTTGCGGTGATTCAAGAACGCCATGATGAGATCCAGGGTTCAACTGGGAGATTCCGAAGCATGGAGCGCCTGGAGGAACTGATGACTTTAAGTGGGGTCGAAGCCAACACCTTCGGGGCTCACCAGACTCTCCTCCAACTTCAAGGACAACTGACTTGGTCCATGAAGGAGGTGCCTGAAAGGAAGGAACCAACCTAGTCCGAGGGCTGACCTTGAGGAGAATAAGGAAGACTGCGAAGGTAAATGAGACGTAGGAACGTGTGTGCTGTTGGGCAGGTGTGCGTAGCTAGTGAATACGAAATGTACGTCAGTAAGCTCATTGACTATGGGGACTCGATTTGGAGGCTGGCGGGAGTGACAGGGAATGGGGGGATGACGGTAATCACTCAGCGCCAACGGTAACTGGTTGGACGATGCGAATCATCCCTCTGGTGAATCACAATTCACTCTACATCTCCTGAACAGTCAAGACGGACCCGCCCTCGTTCACACAACAAGGAGAGAAGCGGTAAATGACTTTTATAACTCACCTCTCTGCGTTGTCGCGTCTGCACTGATCCCTTCCCCTCTTATCAGCTAAGCTTGCCGATTTCGTGTCGCCCGCACTTGAGCGGTGACATCCCATCGGGCCTCCATAAGCAAGCCCAGTGGTGTGCCATCTCTCCTTTGCGCATCGCACAAGGAAGCTTCAAGAAAACCAGGTACGCCAGTAGTATAGATACAGGACAGAGAATCGAAACAGAGCAAGGGAACTGGGAAAACAAATCAATCTAGTGAATGAGGACAGGGTGAACCCGTCACCTCGAATTTTTAGAGAGGAGCTAGGCGATTCGACGTGAAGGGATGAGGCCAATCATGAAAGAGCGCGTTAGGCATGCAGAGACCGACGATGCCCTTATGTACAATACAAATTCTTTTGAGTCTGCAAGGTACCCTGAATCCGAGATCACAGATGCCCGGCGAAGTCCATCTAGGAGATGGTTAGTTAGGTGGGCGGAAAAACGGATACATCCACTCGCACCATTGAGGAAAGGGTGTCCCTACGCCCCCACGCTCACTTTGCTACAAAAACTCGCACGTCCATCCCCAGCACACGCCCTTTTTGCGAGCTTGCGGGCGCTCGACAGTTCATCATCTGCCTCGTCCAACTAGGCTGCTGAGAATTCACACTCCGCTCAACGCACTTTACCCTCCATTCTGGAAATGGGCACCAAGCGACAAGCCAAGTCCGGGTCCAAGAAGAAGCGCCCAGCCAAACCCCGTCCTAAGAGGTATGGGTGTGAGCTCTGTGGCTCTCTTTTCGACAGACCCTGTTCCCTACGTCATGTATGTTGAGCGAAGCGAGCAAACATTCAGAACCCGCTTTACTGATACAGTCCCTTTCCCTCGTCGGCGACGACAGCATTTCCGAACTCACACTGGCGAGAAACGTAGGTCGTCCATTCTCCCCAATCACGTCGCAAGATCTCACTTCTACTCATAGCTCACTCTTGTGATGATTGCAATCGCCCCTTCACGACCAAGAGCAATCTCTACAGGCACAACAGGACCTGCCCCCTTCGTCTGGCGAGAGTTGCCCTCTTTCCGGAGGAGTCTCTCACTGCCACTCCTCAGAGCTTCTCTTTCGTTTATGAAGACCCCAGGGCGTTCTACCCTAGACGTCGTCGTCGCCGTCATCATCACACACCTACTCCTGAGCCTGAAATTGAATTAATTAGCCCGCCTAGCGAGCTCGCGCACGATGAACAAGACTATAACACAGAACAGTGTATCCACGTCGAAAACAACGACAGCTCTACCATCCCCCACTTTGAACGTGATGAACATGCTCCTGTTATCAACGATGGTCCTTATCATCATCATCACCCGCAGCATCATGTGCTCGATCATGCTCACACGGGTATGCACCCCGAGCATCATCGCGCCCATCATCCACGCTATGTTGGGGAAGGTCACGCTTTCACCGCTCCGTCGTCCTTGAGACAGTCGCCTTCCAACCCAGATTTGGCAACAGTTAGTGACGAGCATCATCGACTTGTCAGCCATGTCAATCAGTATCGAGGTTCGGAGATCGAGGTTATTCCAACGATGGACATATCCCAGCATGGGTATACTAGTATTGATGTGAATCAGTACCATGTCCAGAACAGCAGCCACCGGGGTCGCACAATCAACCATGACTATATTGGGCACGGCGAATCATGTGCGCACGCGTTCGAGGAGGCGCCGTTAATGGCGGCGTCCCACCCTACTTCTTCATATCGTTTCTCGACGGGACCGAGCTGGGATGCCAGGTTTGACGTACCTCGTGTGATAGACGCCCATGTTGCTGATGGCCAGGGTCACGCGGGCTCCAGTTCAGGCGTGACTCACCAATCCGATCTCAACTCGCAAGAGAGCAGCTGGAATGCAAATCGTTACAACTGGGGTCTAACCCACGAGCTGCACAACCCTCAACCCCAATATCATCCTTCGTATTCTCAGCAAGGGACATGGCCAACTGCTGCCGACCACGATCACCAGCGACAACAGCAGCAACAACCCCACCCGCAAGAGGGGCAACATCCCTCAGGAGAATACGATGGGCGATACCCTCATTCATGGCAGAATGGGCCTCGTTACCCTCATTCCAGCTGAATTCGAGGAACACCTCGGCACACGGCGTGACGATCGATGTGATTAATTCCGTCGTTCTCATGTGATCCCTTTCTTGTGTTACTTCAGGCTCCCGATCGTTGCTTTCGAGTTGTTCCAATATTTGCTGTTGCTCGTTATCTGTCTTGCGCGTATATCTGAACGCGTCCTCTACGTATTGTTCGTATATAATTTGGGAGTGGCGTGGCGTTGCCCGCGGTGCATTGGTCATCGCGAGCGGCATCTCTCCTCTTTCATTACCCACTTGTAAATTCGCATCGTTCTCGAGCCCCTATTTCTCTGTTTTTTCCTTTATTTCAACCATACCCAAGTTCCTCTGCGCATACTTTTTATGTTGTTACACATTCCGTCTGGTTGCCATGCGCGACAACTCGAATTGTCGAGTTTCATGCCTTCTACTTGTTAGCCAGCGACGGCGCTCTTTCGTCCCGAATATATGGTTTGCTTTGACATGGGTGATCATGCTCACAATTCACAGCCAGCTATTGAGTACCTTAAGACAGAGATGGGAGGCCGACTGCATAGTGGGCGGGGGGGTGAATCATCGTCGGGCCTGGCAGAGGAACGGCGAATGAATATACATGGCGGGATAATGGGTAGAAGGCTGCTTGAATGAATTGTCATGGGCGAATTCTACAGACCATCTGATGACACAAATAAGGTATTGACCTTGTTCACAAAAAAAAGGCGCAATGCTGGCTCCAAGTGACAACGTTCATGGAAAGGCATAGCAGAACAAGGGCTTCAATTGTTCCTGGCTAAACATATATTTGACTGAACCTGCAATTAGCGAGGAACGGGGAATCCTCGAACGCACTGCGCTTGAACTTGCTGAGGGAGCAGAGTACCGTAACACTCGTGCAGACAAGGTTGGGGAATGACACGTGAGCGAGGCGAGGTCGACGTTGGGGGGGTTATGCCGAAGTCCGAGACAGAGAAAGAAGCAGATGCGTAGGTGAGACAAAACTTCTAATTACCAGCTAGCGCGGGATCATTTTCAAGCAATTTCTCAGAGGTTATAAAGGTCGTTTAACTTACCCACTGGCCCATTTCCCCTGCGTCTCTCTCTGGGCCACAAAAGCTCTCTGATTTGATTGTATACTTAGCCCTCGACATCGGGCTCTTGCGGCCATGGGCTAATGAGCAGGCAAATCCACTCCCGATATGGAGCATCACAGAAACATTGAACCAGAGGCGTTTCTTTGACCTGGAATAGAGCCCTGCATGCATTTGGAGGCCAAAGGTGAGTTTATTTGCCCCACGTAAGGCATGCTCCTGGAAGGCTCACCATAGCGCCTCCGGGTACAGTTCGAACCCTGCGCTCAACAGCAACATACCAAACGAACAACTAAAAACCCTTTAACTCGGCGTCAAAGTAGCGCTAGCCAGATCGGGATATGATTATCGAGCAATTAGATGACTGGACGATGAGGGAAAAAATAGAAATGCCAACGTTGTGACGGCCGGAGTTGCTCCGAACGTCCCTAAGTCGTCCAAAATAGTATGAAACCACAGAAAAACCATACAGTTTCGCAGTTGAAGATGTACACATGTAATTTCCTTGTTTCCAACATCGCGTGTAGTGGATGTTTGACGAACCATCGGGCTCCCATCAGTGAGCCCAGTGCTTCGCCATTCGGACATTGCAGGTCGATGTGAGGAAGTCCAAGCGACCCCCGTGACGGCACGCACGCATCGTCACCACACCGTCAGTTCTAAGGACAACGTCAACAGGCAGCTTGTTATGGGAGCTTTATATGGTTGTGCATGTTGAATGATCAGCTTCACTAGTTCTCGGTATTCGGTAACCCCCCCAATAAGGGTATAAACAACTTTGGTTGACTCCTGGGTGCATTGAACTCCAGCTCTTCCCTTCACGCTTCCATCTTCAAATATTTACGCACCCATGCCTCTAAACTCGTCTCATGCCACTGGCGCCTCTGCACCGTCTTCTATTAATGGTGTGCAGAACCAGGGTAACGCCCTTTTTCTTACGATCGTCCCGCCTACGCATCGTGGAAGGCGGCAGGGGAGCTCACCAGCAAAACCACCTCGCCCCAAAAAATATCCCTGTCCACAATGTGGCCTTATGTTTGATAGGCCTTGCTCGGTTAAGACGGTGAGTCTTCGGTTCTGGCGTTCTCAGGGCGAATATCGTCTCAGAGCGCCTTTTATCATCTAGCACGTCTACAGCCATACGGGTGAAAAGCGTGCGTCGATTGAGAACATGCCTCTAATCCGTTCCTAACATTCCGTGCCCCCCTCATCTCATTCACCAGCTTTCCCCTGCGACTATTGCAATAGCGCGTTTCCCACCAAGTCCAATCTCTATCGTCATCGAAAAACGTGCAAAAATTACAAGAAATGCATGATCCAGGGGGGGAGATCAAGACAACCGACGCGCTCGCAGCCTGGGGCAACTCCCCAGAATAATACGGATGAACATCAAACCAAGAGGACATCCACACCGACATCCACCAATTCCCATCTGCAAGCGGGCCCCAGTCAAACTCCCGAATCTATTGTCCACCCTCAACCAGCAAACGCACCACCTGGTTCAAGTCCACCTTCTATTTCATCTGCCGTAGACTTCCAGCAGCGGCAAGACTCGAGATCTCCTCTTGACAGCCAGCAGGCCTCCAGACGTACGCCATCAGCTGCATCCTCGGAATCAAGTGGCATGGACCTCCCGCACCCCAGGCCCTATTTTGACAACGGCAATACGCGTCCACGCCGCGGATTCAGATACGGAAGTAATCTTGATTATCCGACCGATTCTGCCGGAGGGATCGGCAGTGCTGGTGTCAGTGACGACGCCTACGATCATCCTGACCGATCCCACAATCATGTCCAAGGTTACTATGAGAGGGAATATCTCTCACCGAGCCCAGCTATGGAGTCGAGAGGAGCTGGTTCTCCTGTGCATACGACGTGGGTTCAGCCGGGACATGATGGGGCGTACAACGCTGCTAATATGAATACTATTCATCGTCCTCGCTCAGACCACACGTACGCGAGTTCTACATCCGGAGCAGACGTGGGACGTGATGTGTCCGGGACGTGGAATTCTGGATATTACGCGAGTCGAGCTCTCCAATCTGAGCCAGGCTTTGCTATGACATCCATTCCTTCTCACCATGAGCGTCCTTCTCGTACCGTTTCCAACCTCCCCTTGCACGACCCCGAGGCCCAACACTATCCATCCGGTTCGTCTCCAAGCTCCGCTTCTTATCGTGCACAACACCCACAGTTTACTGGTCTTCCCGTGCCGACGAATAGCATGAGCCGAAATAGCCCCTCTACCACCCCACCCCCTCTAGGTCCGCCACGCAGGAACGCGGTATCCGAAATATTTCCGCCTACTGAAACATACAGCATGATGTCTTCTAGCGTTCAAAGCACAGACGCGTGGCCGCCTGCAGGTGGAAACAGTTATCACGAATCCGGGCACGGTACAGAATCATCCTATCATCTTATTCGCGGCTCGACCAGATAAATGGTTAATTGTCTTTCTTCACGGAACTGGCACCCTGACCTGCAGTTTGTATCTTGAGTGATTTAATATTGCGCATGTGCAATTCGTGTGCTTTGTTTCATGGACTTCTTATCTCAACTAACTGCAGCCTAGAACCGATGTCCACCTTTTTGCGTGCATGTCTTCTCCCGTTTATTTCCTTCTAAGCACTGGCGAATGTATTCCGTGACCTTGTAATCGTAAGACTTCTTGTATGCCTTTTTGTTCAAGAATTTGACGGCTGATTTTCCGGTTGCGCGTGGCAATGTTGTTACTTTGTTACTTTTCACCGTTGCGTTGCTGCAGATTTTACCAGCCCTGCGCCTGAATTTTTTGGTACAACACTCGGATTTATGTATTTTTCTAGTTTTCATTTATTCTGCATCAAATCAATCATTCCAAACAACATTGCCATCTGCTCGTTCCAAGGTTTGGATTTTTCCTTAGTACGTTGCTTTTCCTTTTGGCCTTCCATCTGCTTCATGGCATTTGTATTAGGAGTGACTGAGATGTTCACTCGACTCGACGAACATCGCTGAATTAGGGCTGATTGATTTGGTGATGATTGCAGTAATACAATACTCTTGTTGCCAATCCATTAAGTTTGTCCTATCCCATGCATGAGGAATGAAGCGGCGGAATGCGAACTAGTCTCCTCAAGGAAACGGCCATGACGCACCGGAGTGTCTGTCCAGCCAATAAGTAAGTGGACGAATAGTCACGAACTTGCGAGAATTGCGAGGGAAAGTGGCGGTACTTGTGGTGAGTCAATCAATGGTCGAGGGGAGCAGGAACGGCCAATTAGATCGTCCTGGAGTGGATGGAGAGTGAACATTTCCCTTCCTACGATAATATGGTATGAAACAGTCAACAAATGCCCGGAGGTCGAAGCGATTAGGCTCAGCTCTATTGGACGGCAAAAGCTAGATCCATGGCCGTCACATGAGAAGACACCCCATGAAGTGAACGAGTGAATTGGTCGAAGCTGCGCAGGTCGAGACCCTCTTAACTTGCGCTCACGCCAACAGCGGATTCACCTAAGGCTAGAAGAGGTTTGATTTCGGTTGTCTCAGCTGTGTCCTTCCAAGATCGATTCCAAAACGAAAAATCCGTCATGGTTAGTCAAATAAACGGGGATGATTCCAAGGACGCGTACGGAAGCAGCGATTTTATGGCTGAATTACTTTCTACACGTGAACAGCTGCCGTGACTGTCTCAACAGGCAGCTCTTGGCTGGCTCAAGAGATCATCATAGTGCCTTCGGCAGCATTCACGAAGCCTTCAACCCGTCAACGAGAAATTCTGCCCCTCGTAGTGCGAAACAAGCTCGCCTTGCCCAAATAGTGCTTCAGGGTGAGACCGTCATTCCAGTTTGCCGGCCAGTCTTTAATTTTAAGATGTCAGGAATGACTTCGTGGATATTGCACTTGACACCTCTGACGGCATGCTGGAGGGTCGATTGTAATGAGTGCCGAGGGAGCGTGGTTGCACGATCTCCTACCCGAGCACACGATGACACCCGTCTAGATCCGCTAGTTTTTTGGGGTATGAGTTTAGTATCAAACCCCTGAGCTGTGACAGGGTACTTTTGTACTGACTTGCCGTGGTCGATCATGATCTCGTCTGGTGGGGAAACTGCAGCTTTTGATCTTGCGCCTGCATCTCAGTTGCATATATTCTCGCAGTAGATGCATCATCGCACAAAGACAGCAATCCTTATGCGAAGCCCATTGAATGGAATGTCACCATCATTCGTTGTATGTGAATGATGGATGCGACTTCGATTTTTCCAGCTCTCCGCCAAATAGTGCACCATGGACCCGGCAAGTTGGCCAGACTTCGCTATAACGAACCCACCGCCGTTATCAGGGATATTCATTCTGCTATGCGGTTCCCGGAAGGTGGAGACTCGAGAATTCCAGCCTCATTCGGCTCCAGGATCTGCCAAGACCAAATACGCTCACTGGAGTTACCGTTCCCCGATAGCTGAGCCGTGTGACCAGGACCAACTTGTGTTAATGCCTGGGACTTTTTGACATCATCAAGTTCTGGAGGGATCGAATGCCTCAGATCTGGAGCTGCGGCGTGAATACGACACCGCATTCTCTCATTCCGCCGAAAAGGTCTTTTCAGGGGCGGACTCGTTTGAAAGCATGCATTCCGCAGCCAGCCCGCCTTTCTCAAATGACCGTTTGCTTCGCCATAACCCTATTAGCTGTCTCCGAGCGGGATGGAAGCGTTTCGCCACACTCACCGTAGCCCATTCCTACCTCAATGACAGGAGAATACCGGGCTGTGATAAAAGGGCGATACGGATGAAGGTTTACCACCGTGGTCACGATTCTTGGAAGCAGTGAGTGTTTTAGTCACCGCCAAACATCATTGATAATCAGCGCAGCTATTTATTGGACAGCATCCTGTTGAGCCTCATGGCATGGGATAGGATATCAGGTGAGGCGCCACTAAGAACAATTGACAACGGGTATAGACGACCCCGTGCGGGCGGGCCATCCAGTGAGTCTAACTCTGCGGCAATCAGTAGTGGTGGTTGAAGAGAAGAACGAAGGTCGGGGATACCAGATGATTGACGGGGAAGAAAAGGAATGAATGGGCACTATGAAGGGGACCCGGATGCAACTATGGCATGTTGCTCTCTGCCTACGGACCTCCACTGCTTTCTTGCCACAAGGAAATTCTGGACCCAGATTAATATATCGCCTTGTTCTGTGAAGTTCGCGCGCACTAGACACGGTCTGAGGTCAGTACAATTTTGCGGTGAGGATCACTCCGTCCTGTCATCCTTGCACGTTGAGCATGCTTGTTCTTGCCAACTGGTCGTGTTCTCAGCACGTCTTGATCATGCTGAGACATCCCATTCCCTTCGTCCGTGGCTTCTTTTGAGGCTGTCGAATTTTGTTTCACCTCCACTTTCGAATGGCCCTCCCTGCCAGCCCTCCCCATTTGCTTTCGAATTCGTACCCAGTTCTTGTAGCTCGTATTACCCTCCCCCCTACTTCCCCACGTTTCCCAAGCTCAAACTCCCCCCACCACATTTACCGCTCCCAAGTCATCCTATGACGGGCGCTAACTCATCAGCGCTGTTAGAAGGGCAGCTGGCAAGAATGCCCTCCCCTGGGAGCAGCTTTGTTCTTCCCCCTATTTATCTTCCCTACATACTTCTTTCGCCTTGGCTGCAGTGGTAACAACCAGCTGGACGCATGGACGGAAAGGCCACCTGAATTCTCGCTGGCCAGGGGAGACCCCCAGGATTGTCGTAATTTGGAACACGCATGTCTTAACGTCTTTGTAATTATCCCTCATTTCTACGGCGAATAAACTCAACTCTGTCAGTACTCCTATACATCAACAATTCGGCGCTTGAAGATTTTCCGAAGAGATATCTCAGAGTCAGTAAGTGTGCCTCCCTTTCGCAGCTTTCACAACTATCCGCGATCGCAGGGTCTGTCTTCCTGCTCCGCTACTGCTTGTCGCTTTACTGTGTCCCGCCGTGTAGACCTTCGGTAGAAAGGCGGCTCGCACGCGCGTAGATGGCTAATCCCAATACCCATAAACCTTACTTCGCTGGATACCGGTTCCAATTCATCTAACCATCTACAATGGTGTCGGGGCAAAAACCCTTACAAATAATCAACTTAAATGGAAGAGATTGATTGCTAGGGCTAAACACAGATGGCACATTGGCACCACACGGGCGGGCAAAATATGGAAACGCTGGTCTGGGAAGAATGCGAACCGGGAGTGCGAGGGCAGAAACAAGACAATACGGGCTGGGCGATTGGAAAGGCCTTGTGGAGGCGGAAAGACAGCAGGGAGAGGCGAGGCGAGCTGAATTGAATCCCAAGGGTGTCCGTGTGCAGAGACATGACTGGCTGACCAAGGGAATGGGCTTCCTAGGGTGGAAGAGGCGGAAGCAGCGAAGGAAGGCGAGGGCTGGCGTACGGCAGCAAAATACTAAACGGGGCAAGGTGTGCGGCATCCGTGAGCTACCAAATTCGCAGTGCTTTGCCGGGCAGTTGAGGTCACAAGCCTTGAAGCCCACCAGGGATAATAAATCCTGCATCGGAGAGCGACATAAGTGAGAATCACTTCCTCCGTCCGTGTATAGCCAACTGAATTTTGGGCATAGCAAAGGGGTACAGCATAGGAAGCCTGAGCAACTTGGCTATCATGGTATGCAGGAAGCTTAGGGGACTAGCAGCAATAATCACTGTGCCTGTTGTCAATGACGAATCATGAGGCGCGAGCGTCAGTGCAAGGAGGAGAATCTCTTTGCTGGATCTCCGCACAAAATTTGGACCCCACAGAAAGGCAGTCTGAGCATATAACGGTCCAACGAAGGTACCTTCATCTCGGCAAGTAGGGTGAGAAACACAGAAAAGGGTGTATGAATAGGTGGAATCAATTGCTTCCGTGGCGCTTGAAATATCGAAGGTCGCTGCGTGCCACCGGCGCATCCTAAACAGGTTTCTCGTTTGCGAGTCAACCGTCTAAATTAGCCAAAGCTGATTGGAGAAACAAAGGGCCTCCTTTTGGCGGAGTTGACCGTGTTCGTTTATTATGTCACTCCGAACGTTCTCAATTGATAATCGTCCTTTCGATGACTGATAGGCCTCCTAACACGTATGATGAGCATCCAGCGAGCTCATTGTGAGATGTTAATCCCGCACTTGCTATAAAGGGATGACTTCCCCCGCCATGAGTATAATTCACTCTGAACTTCATGCGACTACAATGCAAGGATCGCACACACCGTAGGTGCCACGGAGGAAGCATCCGCACTCTGCAGAAAGATGGCGATACTCAATTTAGATGCAGTTGCCCGTTCCGGTTGGATTCGCCGCAGGCAACACCCTAAGGCAACAGGTTTGCCTTGTAAATTTTCGGTGCACCTGTTGCGAATGCCCTAGGCGCTGATGCTCGTGCTTGGAATAGCATGCGATCTCAGGGCTCATCATGGAGGCCTGAAATCGTGGATTTATGGACTCTTGACGCGTAATAAATGAGGACTGCAGGCGTTCCGTCGTCTTTTTACTCCTGTGCGCTCGCGACAAAATGATAATAACGAAAGGCACGCCTCATTTTCAGTTTTGGATCCCCAGAGGTCCTTGTTACTCGTCGCGCGTGAGTCCGTCATCTCAAACAAGGCAGGAGCACGAACATGAGACCTGATGGCGTAGCTAAATCAGCTACGTAGTATTCCCCATGTCTCCTGCAATGAGGGCATTCACGCGCCGCACCAATGTTGCGTACCTGTGACCCTCCAGTCTTTGTCAAATCAGAAACTTTGAAGTAGTGCATGGTCAATATTCTTCTGCTTTATCTTACTGCAGCAAACATCGTACGCTCTGCCTAGCCGACATTCGGATAAAGAAGCCGCGTTTGGGCTATCCTACTTCTCACCGCGATCCGAGGTCAAGATGGCGGTACGATAATAGAACAAACGTCCTTCAAGTCAGGCTCGGATTTTGCTCCTTGACAGGCTGCGGGGTGTGCAGAATATCCAGAGGCAAAATGCAAGGCTAAAGCGTTGCGAGAGGGATGGACGTACGTTGATCATCTTCAGGGTTGGTTTGATGAGGGGTGATAGCGAGCACCCTAGCTAGGTGTTCCTCCCTCTACCGACACGTCTCAACGTAACTGATGAGCACTTCCAAGGCTCGTGCTTTGCCTCTGAACTGTTTGCGGGCGTTTGAGACAAGGAGGTTTCACAGGTTTGTTCACGTGTGGCGGCGTTCTACCAAACAAAGGACCCCTCTGTCCCCGTTCATAGGTCTGCTAGGTCACTGTCTAGCTATTCTATAATTTCTTCATACTTCGTCTGTCCAGAAGCCCAACGCTGACTTCAGCTCAGTTCATCCAAGGGTTGCACCCCGAATCAGCATCTCTTCGTCGCCATTTGATGTCGTCTGCCGCAAATTGTGCAGCCGGGACTAATTTCTCATCGCACCATGTTAACGCATTAATTAAAGCTTCAGAACTAAGCAGAGGGTTTCTCAGGACCCTTAACTCCTCGAGATGGAAGGATTCACCTTGCTGGAGGTTCGTTGTTAAAAATTCTGGATTCCTCTCCTCTAACTTCTACCATCGCACATTGTAGGCTTTCCTCGACAGAGAACGCCGACCTTTTTTCGTCCTAGTGACAAGGATACCCCATACCCTTATCAGTTCGCCATTTCAGTCCAAAGACAACATCGCGCACATAGGTACGGAAGTCCCACTGTTCGTTTTCATCGATACGCTATGTGGAATCGTGCAGATGGTTTCTTAAAGAATGGGCGGTACAGTGTACTAGTGCTTTTAGCTGCCATTGGTTGCTTCTGAGAATGAGGAACGATGCAGGTGCCTATGCATGTACATTAGGGTGTGGTGACGCGACAATGTACTGTCTCAGTGTACAGTTCATTGTGCGGATATCGCGATATTTTTATAATAAACAAGTGCACCGAAAACACTACGGAAGACAAGTCCAGTAGGAATCGACGGTGAGAGAGAGGAATTTTCTAGGCTGTCAACAGGAAGAGATTCGGGGATTTGTGGAACGACACAATTCGTGGTTGACGGCGCAGAGGAGGAACCGGATTTCCCTAAGCCAGATTTGCCTTCATTCAACTCCTGGATTAGAAGATGTCAAATTAAACGGATAGAAAGTCAGAAATCAAGAAAACTCACATCCGGAACAATCTCTGTGACATTTAAGCGCGTCGTCAGAGGCTGTCAGCTAGCGTCAAGCTTTGATGCGTAGCTCAATGAGGACCACTCTACACAGTCTTCCTACTGGACTACGAAAACCAAGCTGGCGAAAAGAGACTCAAGTCAGCAAGAAATTGGGTCCACCTTCGTAAGGTCCGTCACGGGAGAGTCCGCATTCCTCCACACGTGAAAAGCATGGGCCTTCAAATCCCCCGAAACCACTTAATCCTCCTCTGAAAGTAGGAAAAAAAAAGTCCTTTTGCTTGAACTGAGAAAGGATGTTGATGAGCGTAAGGGCAAAGGGGAAGGTCCGTAATTTCTTGATTCTTGTTCGGGAAACGCTCTTAATACTGCCAGGCATGCCTCAGCGCTATCCAGATATTCTCCACCTACATAGTACAAAGCAGTGACTCCATAAGGAAACATACTAGACCAGGGAGGGAAAGCAGTATGGACCGGGAAGAGTGTGAGTCGAAGTCGAGTCTACAGTGAACGGCACACACGCTTCCGATGCGTGGGGACAACTTGTGTCTCCTCCCAAATCAGAACGTCCTGTTTCGAAGAATCATGGTCGAACTGGAGAGGGGGTATCAAGGAGGATCTTACCTGCCCTCGGATTTGAGTCCCAATCATATGATTCTGATCCTCATCAAGGGCCGATCAAGCGCTAGAGACCCGGATGTACATCCTGAAGCATTTGCGCTAGAGTCTGCCCCTCTGACTCTTTTGACAGACACAAGGGAGGGTCGAAGGCCCTTCCAGAGTATGTAATCTATCTCTTGAGACATCTGTCCGTCCATCTTGCTTGTCTCTGCGCCTTTTGGGAGGATTCCGGTCTTCCATAGTAGGAGAACTTTAGTCAAACACAGCCAAATTGGATGGGCGGCGTCACATCAGGGTTTCCATGAGCAAGCCCTATGCCACGTCATCCGTTGACATTGGCTTGATCAAATCAGTGCAACCACGCCCTCCAAATGCGCCACCATTGAGAGTGGACCCGGCTGTGAGACGGACATTCGTAGACCTGCGTGGAAGGGGTTGCCACAGGAAAGCAGGCCAGGTCCCTTCCGCAAGCAGGTACCATGAAGCGGCAGAACCATTTTGGAAACCTGTGGCCCATATCGCCCCGAATTGCGATTGATCGAGGGTGCAACCATTTCAGTTAGTGCAGCGATTGAAAATCTGAAGTTCGAACTCGCAAGTCACTCTATCAGCGACCGAACCTCAGGAAGCTTACTACTGGGCGCAATAGGCAGCATCCTGGGCCCTGATATAAGGCTGCGCTCCTTCAAGTGCTTACCGGAATTGCGTGCATGACAAATCTCATCTGTTTCTAATCGCTCACCTTTGAAGGATCCAGGTCCGCCCATGAAAGGTTATTTACTGAGCCCGTAATCATCCTTCCAATACGAGGTTTGGCCTGGCGAGTCTATCGCGCTTGGCGATGGAATCCTTCGCTTACTTCCAAGCGAGTAATTCGTAATCCTTCCGGAGGCATCTTCTGGGAAGGTCATTCCAACATTTTGTGCAAAGAAACTAAGGTGCCCCTGTTGGGATTGGCCCAATGGTTGAATTGTCAACGGAGGCCGGATGCAATTGAGATGATTCCCCCCTGATTTCCTGTCGTGCGTCCTTGTTCCCGCCACGTTTTGGAAGTCTTCATCCGCAAGGAGTGGTCAGATGCAATACCAAGCCTGCTTGTTAGAGTGTACGAACACCATGCCTCACTCTAAGTGAAGCCGCCATTACGGATGGCGGGGCATCGGTGCTGTCAGGATGCCCTGGCTCCCATCTTCAATATCTTAACCAACGTTTGTTTGACCGCCCAGTTGAGTAACGGGAAAAAGGGCGCAAAAGGCTTTTCAGCCGGAATCTTGCCTCAACCCCGGAAGTAGTCCGCTGAGGTCTGTCTGTTGCTGCGTGGCACTCTAGCAATTATGTAAGTACACTTTGGTGGGAATTGATTTCGCTTCACGGTACCAGTACACTGCTAGTCCAAGATTTCCTTACCCCTCCCTCCTAATCGGCAGGTTGGCATTTCCTGACACCGATGAACCGTTGGAGGGCAAAAACACCCTGGTCCCCAAATTAGCCAACAAAAACTATGGGCCTGCAATATCCCTATCCTGTCCATACCTGTCCCTTTCCTCGGATTTTCGACTCCATCCAACTCTCTTACACTTGTTGGTGTGTATTCCTTTGGCCTTCCGTTCTTCACGGCCGTCCAGTCCTTGCAGAACCAGGCAGGGGATTATCAAGATGTTCACCTTATCATCCCAACGGCCATCCTGTTTGGATCACAACTTCGAAGCATTATGGATTCGAGCGTTAAACTATTCCAAAGCCTCCAATCCCTTCGGCCTGCCAAGAAGCATCCTACTATGGTATCAAATTCTGACCATTCGATCAGCGTTCCCATCACAGCTCACTATCGAACTAGACGCGAAAAAGCTGCCACGTCTCCCGTCTCTCCCTTCTGTACGTTTTGGTTTTACAATATTTTCATGTTCATACCATTAGGAGTGTCATCAGCCCCACAATCGAACGATACCTTTGGTATTCCCTGCACTCAGTCTTGGTTGCCCTAATTACCTCGTTCTCTGCCGATGCTTATCGCTTTGTTTGTGTCGTCTGCATCCATCGCTTTGGCATCTCACCTTCCATGTCAGCCGGATGACTCTAGTGTTAGTCTGGTAAGGACCCCATCGTGCCGCTTCTCACTGCGTCTTTGGTGCTTATTTGGATCAGGGGCGGCTATGATATATGATACGGCCGTGTTGGTGGCCACTTGACACATTTTTTCATGCACATCCGCTCGAAAGTTCAAATTTATGGTCCTGATTCTGGGGGTCCTCGGGGGTGCCGTCAATCTGGGTTCTCACATTCCCGGGCATTCGTTACTCTCGTATCCTCCGATAAAACATTGCCCAATTGGGTGATACCAGAGAAAACTCATCGTGCCAATGTCTTCATGGGGATGGCTCTCGAGGCGATGATCTCTTGTGATGTCAGCGATCCGGACTTTTGACGCCACTAAGGGGATCTCCGCGTTTCCTCGGCAACTCTGAGCGATTCTCTTTCACGATTTTTGATCGATCCCACTCACGTTCTGTTTTCCGATTTTAACCTCCCAGTATGCATTCCATTGTGTAGGGCCCTATGGCCCAGATATGGGATTGTTGATTCCCACTGTGGGTGGTTGCTGAAAGTTTCCAAATCCTCTCATTTCATCCAGTTCCCTTCTCATCCCAAGGACTTAGATTATCATGAGTTGTGAATCATTATGACTAATATCAACTCGTCGTACTGATCATCCCCATTTACGAATCACCAACATCGGCGAAGTAGAAGTCATTGGGCCTCGTAAATTAATCTAATTCCCCGGACCTCGTACGGAATGGGGGACTGGCGAGGCGGGAATTCGGCATCTCATTTTCGCTCTACAAGAGGGACTCGATGAAGATGATACCGTCCTGTGCCAACGTTTCCGGAGTTTATGTGTTTTCGCTGACGTCTTCCTAGATGGGCCTTGCAGGCGTTCCCTTCGGCGAGCGGGCTTGATGTTCCGTTGAGGGAAAAGGCAAGTACGGCTACGGCATTCCTCGAAGCTCGAAGAAAGTTCACACATGGAGACGTTGTTGCCTCCGCAGCACCTCAGCGTCGGTCCTTGCTTCTGACAGGTTTAACGGCCCTCATATTTTGGAACAGCAGTAAAATACTCTTTCCTTACCGAACTTCCCGTCTTTGCATTCCCTAACTCTTCTGGCGCCTTACACCGTTTATGGCCACGATCTCAGAGTCTCGTGGCTGAAGATTGGCCAGCACCCTTCCAAGATGGACGCTAACAAGACGTCGAGCGAGATTTCACTAATACGACCACCACCAAACTAGGGCGAACCCTGCGCGTGCATGTCTTCATGCTCACGTCTAAATTCGCTGATGCCATCATGGCTGGCGTTCTCCGGGGCATTGGTCCTGTTGCATCCTCAAGGATGCCAGAACCAAATGTTATCAATATTTTAACCCCGAAAGCTCCCATGGTCGATGACGTCCCAAAACCTAAATATTGTTTCATTCTCCGCGAATCAAATCTCTATGTTTTCATTGCTTGTCCGGAGGTATGACTGAAGCATCGATCGTCTATTTGGCCAGCCAGAGAAACCTGTTGGAGAGATGGCTTTAGATAATTTGCGGCTACGCGCGAATATCGCATATCCACGGGCTACCTTGTCTGAACTTCCACTACACAAGCCTTACTCTTAATTATAATGGAATAATTCACAACCCCTCATTGGCCGATACTACCTTTTGCAATTGTGTCTCACTGACCGTGGATTGGTAGCTCCGAAGCGGGGAGATTAACTTAACAAATTAGATAACAAAGGAATGACTGCTAAGGCGAACTTTCGTATCAGAATACAAGTAGAGTTGGGCCCGAGGGAGAAGTGAATCTGGTTCACAAGATTAGCGATAGGGCAAAACAGGGTTTGATTAGCCAGATCTTGGGGAAGGAGCAAAATAGGCAATAGCGAGAAGTAAGCGAGCTAAATTGCCAAAAAACGGCTGCAGCAGAGTGCTGATATGACCAGCTCACTAATGAAAAGATGTTGGGAGGCAACAGAAGATGGAAACACTCCAACAAGGCAGAAGCTGACTTATTGAGACATTAATACGTCTAGCTCTATGCAGCATCAAAGAGCACCGCATCCTCTACTTTGCCGAAGACGGACAGAGAAGTGGATTGTTGAGCCACGAACTTTGATAAGGAGGTGGGATTCAAGAATGGGGTGGTGCTAACTAGAACGGCGACGTATAAGCTCGTCGCAGGCTGCGCTGTCCGAGCGGCGGGCGCAAGAGCATCGAATAACGCCGGACCGGGGAGGGGAAGCGGATTGATTCCACACAAGAAGCCTGGGGTGATCAGGCATGACAACAGTGAATATTATGTCGTTGTTCATCGTCATGTGCCAGAAAAGGCAGAAAGCGCAGGAAACCCCCTTTCGCATAAGGTGGAGGTGAGTACACATTCTTTTCTGCATGAATGAATTGGCTTGGGTTGCTTCTGAATTCTTTGAAATGTTGCTGACCGACAAACGTGTCATACCTTTCAACCGGGAAATGCCGACACCCCTTGGTTCCCATGTGACACAGTCGAAGTCATATACCCCACGATCGCTTTGAATGCCTCATAGCACTTTAGCATCTCGCGTCTGTTATCAAGAGGCTTCATCCCTTCACTTCGCCGACGAGCAGGACGAGGGACAGGTGGATAGCAATAAGTGACTTGTGTTTCCGCTGGAGGATAGGTCCCATGAGCGATATGATCCGACAGGGTCTGCGTGACGGGAATCTTGAAGAATGCGGGCGACGTGCCAACCATTACGATGCCAGGCATGACCTAGGGGAAGTAGGCACCAGCTTAGGTCAACCAATCAACCAACTCAAGAAATGGCTCACCTTGCTGACCAATGGTGGAAGTCCCATGGATTCCCTTTGTGCGTTGTTCTCATTAAAGGCCGCAACTGCTTCTGCTACAAGCTGAGCCCGCGCATTGACTGGCTCCAATTGCTGCAACCTCTTGTCCTCCTGGACAAGGAGAAGGATACCATTCTGAGAGCGATCAACAATACAGACATCTGTCTTGGCATGTCTCTCTTCACCGCAAATAAGAAGGGAGAGGTCCACTCTCGTGCGTGCCAATCGTTGCCGACGAACATAACCCAGAACCCTGAACAGTTCGACGGCAAAATCAGCGACGGCGGTTTCGCCCTTATCGGGGATCATGGCAAGATCAAGCAACCCGATCAACTCTGCGTTACGATCTTGTTGCATAGTGTCAGCATCGAGAATGTTCAGCAGCTCTTGATCAATCACAGGTTGTGGCAACTCCTATGATGTAAAAATCGTTAAGTCTTCCCAATGACGAATGCGGAGCCGCCGCGACTCACCTGTAAGCCAAAGAACAAAAGGTGGTCCACTTGATGGATGGTGATATGATATGAATCCAGCTCAATGCGTGTCCAGTCACTGCCAGACTTGGCGGAGCGAACGATATTAGCCATAACGTCCTGGGGAGAGGGATGTGCGGTTAGCAAGCGGCAGCGTCCGAAGCGTGAGCAATCACGTGACTGAGGCGCCATGCATCCGCATAGTCTGGCATCATGTCAGAGTGGAGGGCTCCTGATTCTCATCTGTCAACAGACTGACGGTTCCAGTGATCTTAAATCACTGTAAGGCTGAATATGTGGATCTTGAAGCTAGATCGATTGTTTCCGACTCAATTGCTGATCCTATTCATTGGGAAAGTACTGTCCCATTACGACCGTAGGTTCATTCCCACGGGTTTCGGGGATTGCCGGCTCCTTGCGTAGTTCATCCCTCAGTGTGACATGTGCCATACATCACGTGAGAATATTGAACTGAATAAAAACTGAATGGATTTGCTGTTTCCGGCAACTCCCGGATCCCGTGGGAATTAGTTGTCAATACATTCATCTGTTCAAAGTCTCGTTGTGACATGTGACTGAACCAATGGTTGTAATGGGATTTTCCACCGTAAGTCACCAACTTATGCTCTGTACCGCTTCTTAATTCAATCTCAAACAGTATCCTTCTTGTCCCAATAACTTTCTTTTGTGCTGAGGCACTAAACGTATGAAACTGTTACTATTTTCACATGATCACTGTAATCACATGAAGCTGCAAGTGTTTTATAATACAACCCTTCTACTAGTCAGTGAACGCTGTCATATCCCACCTTCTGTCACCTCTGGCCATCCTGATTATTGTACTGACATGACCAACAACTGGTTCCCACGGCCTCCGGGAGTTGCCGGAGGCTGCTAATCAATTCAATTGTGTTAATTTTCAATTCAATCCAAGGTCCTCGTGTGATGCGTGACCGGTTGTTGGTTGTGCCAGTACAGTATCCCTGCTCCACTCACACCAACCTTGGAGCCCCTGAATCCCATCTTACCCTCTGAGCCTGTCAGGGCAATAGCCCCAAACCCTGAGCCATATGTAATTAAAGATACATATAGTCATGTGGGTAAGTGGTAACCTCTGGTTAACTGCTTACACACCACCATAAAATAATGAGGTGTGTTTTACAACACAACCCACAAAAAAACTTATCAATCTCAACATCTTGACTCGGTAGTGCCAATGGCGCCTAAACACGCCTGCAAGGGCAAGGTTGTGTCTGCAGTGACAATAAAAAGAAACAAGCGGTTCATCAAGAAACTGCAATCTCCCATCATGGGAGATTCAAATCAACAGCCATCGTCAGATGATGACGAGGATCAACATGATCCAAAAACAGCAACCACCTCAGGGCTGGCCCCTGAAGGTTTTAGAAACTTACGTGGAGTAAGTGCGGGGCCCAATACCCCTAGAACTCCACGTCATACCGATCTAACCCAAGCTGGGGAAGATCTCTCACCTCCTCAGGAGGTGATCGACTTGTGCAATAAATGCATAAGCGCTGAACTGTTAGAATGGGCGGATTCGGACGACTCCGGAGTGGAATCGGAGACTTAGCATGGAAGGACCTCGGCCTCAGTGACTCAGGTGGAGCGCTGTGCCATTGCTGGTTGTCCTGGGGGTCCCTAATTTCGGATCTAGCAGAGGGAAAGTCTCTTGGGGGAATTCAAGTCGATTTCGGACTGAGGTTACAAGTTACTGGGTACATTGTATATAAGGAGGGGTCCGGAATCAAAAGGAACAAGGGTAAGACGAAAGGAGACAAAGGGAGATGGAAAGAGGAACAACACCGAGGGTCAAGTGTTTGACTCAATGGTGTTTCCCAAAGGAGGAATGAAGGGCCAAGGCCCAAGGAGGAAGGAAAGAGGATGGGAGTCGGGAATGGCTAGCTGACTGAATAGAAGGAAGCAGCAGCCCAAATAGGAATGAGGGAGAATAGCGGAATTGAAATGGACAATGCAATAGTTGCAAGGTCCGGAGTAAGTCCGGAAAGTCCGAACTCGGAGGTTAAACTCCGGAATATTGGCAAACATAATTAAATGGAATGAGCTAACCAATACAATGGGTATAAGCGGAGGTGGGGTCAAAGTCCGAGGTTGGAGCTAAGACCGGAGGTTCCGGAGATGGAGACGCGAACGGGATTCCGGAGCGGAGGTCCGGAGTCAGGAGCATAGGTTTTGCGTACTCATCTGGAAGGTGTCGAGGTTGGGGTTGGACCCGGAATGTTCCGGAGTCGGACCGAAGGTGGTGTCCAAGCCGGAGGTGGGGTAACCTCTTGGGAGTCGGCAAGGAGAAGGTGATGGAAGGGAAGTAGGGCTCCGGAAGTCGGAGTTCGGAGTTCCAGGAGCCCGGAGTGGAGGTCGGGATTGTATGGATATGACATGAACGATCAGCCCGAAAAGCTGATTGGATAGAGTTGCAGGAAACTCCAGGGCCCCAATATCCCCTGGAGTCCTCCCCCATGTCCCCAAGTCAAGCCCCAAAGGCAGACAAAGTTCTTCTCAGGCTTCCAGCCTGAGAAAGCATGAAAAAATGCCCTGAGAGCAGGATCTCCCAGAGCATGGAAGCTCCAAAAGAACTTCTGCTGTTTACACTACCCCATGCCATGCTAGACAAGGCAAGGTCGCCAACCTCGGAGGAGGTCTCCGAGATAATGAAGAGGAGGTGAACCGAAATGAGGGAGTTCGCTGAGGAAGCCTTATGGAAAAGTAGGGAAAAACCAGTGAACAGACCCCTCTATGAAAGGGAAGCCCCCTCCACAACGGCCTTGCCTAAACAAAGCGAGCATGGAGCTTTCACTCCAAGAACCCCTTCTGGAACCCCCAGAAGCGGCAATGTCAACAGGGGAGAGTCACTGCTTGCCCAACCAAACTTCCTCCTGGAAAACCAGGAATCGTGCATAATAAATGCAATAAACTCGATCCAAAAAAAGATCGAGGAAACAAACCACAATAGCATGGCTCATCTAGAGATAACTCTAGAAAGAATGGCCAACGCAATTGATGCGTTGACTGACAAAATCAGCAAGCAGACGGACTTGCTGAAGGAGATAAACTTCTCACAAAATAGTGAGGAAACAAAAAAATACCCCTGGGCCACGGGCCAGGACAAAACCAGAACTCGTGAAAAATTCACGAAAAGAACCACCAGTGAAAGTACACTGGAGTATCATCAGCGACTCGACAGAGATGCTAAGGAGATCCTTCTCCCAAGGATAGGAGAAGATGATGCTGAAAGAAGGCATTGTTCAGAAATTAGGAGGAGAATCGGCACGTACCAAAGGTTCAGCCAAACATCCACCTTCAATGAACCTCTCAAACGAGAGGTAACACAACCACACTCTCTCAAAACAATGAGAGAATCCAAATACAACTTCAGGTGAATTCGCCCGAAACCAAAGAAACGCTGCAAGGAAGATTCCCCCAGCGAAAACTCCCCCAAAGGAGAGATCTCCATTGGATAGCGACCCCACAAAGGCAGGGGAGCAAGAGGAGTACCTGGAGAAATGGTATGAAAAGGCCATAAGAATGGCCGAAGTGAGAATACTCACTCCCTACCCAGAGGGAGTGAAGCCTGAAGCTCTAAAAAATGGGCCGGCTTTTCCTGACAAGAAATGTTCAGGGGAGAACGACAAGGAATCGTTCTGGCAGTGGTTCACAGAACTACTGGGATTCCTTGCCTCACGAGGATGCAAAGGTCCCCAATTTGATGAAGTCCATCTGGACTGCTTGATTCGCGGATTAGGGGGACCCACGTTCAACCTCGGAATAAGACTCCGAGATGAAACTCTCCTCAGAGGAGACAAGGGCATGTTCCTCAAAGTTCTCAACATATTGATGAGAACATTCATTAAAGCCTCTGCCACATTGAACGCAACAAAGAAGTACTGCAATGTTAAATATGAAGTGGAAAAAGGCCTAAAACAGTTCTACTTAGAACTGTCTAAAGCAGCATCCCAGATGGTGATGCCACCAGACCAGGCATCCTTCAATGCCAGGTTCCTAAACTACATTCCCCTCGAATGGAAGAGGGAAATGATCGCTCATGACAGAATCAGAGCGGACTTCTCCTCAAATGAGGAGATGTTGAAAGCAATATCTCGTGTAGACAAGATAATTGACGGGCTGAAAATGTCTTCAGCCTACAAATCGGGATATTATACCCGAACAACCACCACCATGGCAACCACGAGCCATGGTAGAGCTCTCCCATCAGGAAAGAAGGCTGAAGAGCCGAAATCCAGATGGAAAGAGGATACATCCTCGAAAAACTCGAGGAAAACGAAAACTGACCAAAAGTCAGTTCCAATTTGTGGCAAATGCGGCAAAATAGGGCAAACGAAAGATTGCCCAAAACACAATGCAATGAGCGATGAAAAACCAAGGTGCATAGCTGCCATGGAGATCGCAAACGCATCAGAGGAAGAGTCAGAAGACTCATCAGACAAAAAACCAGAGAACAACTCTGGTAACTCCGGAGCATCAAGCTTCGAAGTAGAGGACCCATATGAAGGACCTCAATACTCACCCGACTCAGAGGGTGAGGAAGTCAACGTCAGGACCATAAGGATGGGCCTGTCAGGGCACAGCCCCTGACCCCACACACCCTCAGGTACCCTTCCCCCATTTTCTCCTATTTTTCCCTTCACTGTTCCACAATCCCGCGTCAGCTCCACCAGGAGCTGAAACAGATGAAGTCCCTTGTAGGAGGGAGATGAGGGAGTGACAGCGGCTCCTCGTCCAGACTGTCCAAACGGGCACAGTCTGATAACTCGAGGGCGTCAGATGATGCCTGCGACAATTGTGCCCATTGGAGGCGCGAATACAACAGAGCATGAAGAGATGCCGAGGGCATCTTCGACTCTCTGAAAGACACAGAGAGAGAGGGAGATCGAATTACTAAAATGCGAGCTCAAAGAGGCATGTGCATTGGCAGACCTCGCTGCCAAACCCATCATGATGGGGGCCTCCCAGGTCAGGGGGAGGGGATATGGTGCTGGGGCACTGACTATCCCACCACCCTGTGGGCAGGTGACCCTGTCCGGGTTGCATAAGGGCCCGCCCTCAGAAGGGCAAACCCA